GGAACAAAGAGATCACTAGATCTTAGGAAAACTCAATTTAAATTATGACAACATTGCATTAGGTATCTACCAGAAAAGTAAAGGCGTTTTTAACAGGCAAACCGTGGTGGGAAGGCCATGCATCAGCCAGAGCTGCAGCACATCGTGCATGGCAATGCAGACAATGCAGCCACTGTGGAGAGAAAGCCAAGGCGTTCCTATACAATTAACCAGATACTTGGGGGTAGTGAAGGGACTGGGCAGTAAAGCCGCTCACCTCTGAGCCTAACGACCTGAGCTCAGCTCCCAGAGCCCCCAAGTTAGAGGGAGAGTGGAAATGAGTGCTCACAGACACACACACAATCAACAAACAAATATAAAATATAATAAAAATTACAAATAAAGCCAAACAGAAACTTAACATATGATTCAAGTGTCTAATCTTATATATTCAAAAACTAAATCTTTAACAGGCACAAAAAAATGTTTATAGCAGCTTTATTAATAAGTACCCTAAATTGGGAACCATCCAACATTCTATAACCCACTAACATAAGTGACAATTTGTATGCATCTCCAGTGAATCATGCTAAGTATAAAAGCCACATTCTCAAAGTTACATACAGCCTACCGTGGTCATGTGTGCCTGTAATCACAGCCTGTGGGAGACTGAGGCAGGATTGCGAGTTCAAGGTCAGCCTACGCTGTACAGCAAGACCCTACCTCAAAAAAAAAACAGCTAATCCGTAGTATGACTGCATTACCTCGGTGTTCTGAAGAGACAAAACCATCAGGGCAGAAGAGACAGAGAGAGCAGTGGTCACCAGGATCCTAGATGGAGGAAGATGACCCCCGCCAAAGGATAGGCAGCACCAGGGAGCATCTTGAGGTGAAGAACACTCTTGCCAGTTCATAGACATATATAAATACATTTTGCTCTATCTACAATGACAAAATAAAAGTTGACTTGCTGTTTAGTGGGACTTCAGAGGAAAGGAGAGAAAGGAGGGAGGAAGCATGGGAAGAAGAAACAAGAGAAAGAAAGGAAGGAAGGAAGGAAGGAAGGAAGGAAGGAAGGAAGGAAGGAGAAAGAAGAAAGAAAGAAAGAAAGAAAGAAAGAAAGAAAGAAAGAAAGAAAGAAAGAAAGAAAGAAAGAGACAGAGAGAGCACCCAAGTACTCATGGTCTTGGTAACTTGCAGTGATTTTTCACATGTTCATGTACACACACACACACACACATACACACACACACACACAGAGAGAGAGAGACAGAGAGACAGAGAGACAGAGAGAGAGAAAGAACACACACACACAGAGCACCCCTCAGACGAGGGGAACTGGGTGGGTATTTGGTGAGTCAGAAAAGTAGGGTTACTATTTTCTTGACGTGAAGTGGGCTAGTTAATAAACATGGAGATGAATGCAGGAATGTGGCTGTGCTGGCAACTGCAAGTGCCCATCCAGACAATAAAGTGGCCTAAACGACAGAGTAAGTTTAGTGCTTTGGCTCCTCTGAGGAGATGACCCTGACCTGAGCTCTAGAAGGGATGGAGGAGGCAGTCATCAGGCAGAACATCCCGGCAGAGTCTTCCAGATAGGGAAAATATCAACGCATGCAGGAGTCTACAGTGAGGACAAGATTACTACGGAGACAAAAATAAAATAAAATAAAACAACTCACCTCACACATGGAAGCACCTTTCAAATGCACAGTTGGAGACAAGCCAGTGGGCTGGACTAAGTGAGCAAGGAAAACAGCCGAAGAAGGTAGGCTCAGCTAGGAGCAGGTATCAGTTCAGACAGGACACAGAGCCATGGTGACATTGGATTGCCATTACATGTCACACATACATCAAACTGTGGGAGACAGCAAAGTACTCGCACCCATATTTTAAAACATAGCTCATAACTGGTGTGGAAGCTATCATGGTCTGGATATGAAATGGCTCATGCATCTGAATGCTTGGTCCAGGCCTGGTGGTGCTATTTCGGAAAATTACAGAACTTTTAGGAGGTGGGGCCTCACCGAAGGTTGTGTCTTGCTGGAGCCAGGCCTCACGGGTTATAATCTGGACTGGTTCCCACCTAGGTTCCCTGTCTACTTCCAGACTGCAGCGACAGTGGAAACAGAGGTCTTGTGGGGCCATAGCCCAAGACGCTCCTACTGCCCACCTTCCCTACGCTAATGGACCTATCTCTCCAACCACGAGTCCAAATAATCCTTCTTCCCTTTAGTTGATCTCTCAGGTGCTTTGTCACAGCTGTGAGATAAATAAATAAGACACTGGCCTGTGGGAGTTCAGGAGAGCAGACACAGTTTTCCAACTTAACACAGTATGCCATGTCCCCCTTGCCACTACAACGAACATTGACCGTGGACGACATCAATTTATTTTTTACATTTCTGGTGGTCAGATGTTTGAATTTGCTAATGGAGCCTCTGCAGCCTCCTTCTGGCACTTCCAGGAGACAACTCTAGTCACTGAGATCCCCAGCGTCTGCTAGTCTCCCATATGCCTTGGCTAGTGGCCCCGCCCTACGTATTCAAAGCCAGCCCTGCAGCATCTTCAAATCTCTCGGCCCTCTGGTCTCTGCTTCCCTCGTATCTTCTCCTCTCTTTGTCTCACTCTGTGTACTTGTTACTTGTTTGTTTGTTTTGTTTTTGTCAACTTGACACAAGTTAGAGTCATCTGAGAAGAGGAAGCCTCAACTAAGAAAATGCCTCATTCTGAGTGGACTGCAAGAGAGACTGTAGGGCATTGTCTTTATTAATGATTCACACAGTTCACTATGGGCAGTGCCACCCCTGGGCAGGTAGTCCTGGAGAGCAAGCCAGTAAGCAGCATCCCTCCATGGTCTCTGCTTCAGTTCCTGCCTCCAGATTCCTGCTTGAGTTCCCTTCCTGATGGACAGTGAGCTCTGAAAATAAACCCTTTCTTTCCCGAGTTGCTGTTAGTCGTGACATTTATCACAGTAATAGAATCAAACTTGAACACTCTGTCTCCCCGTCCGTCTGTCTTTCTAAGGGTGCTCACATTTACCTTCGGTCCTGCTCTACCGGACAATCTCTTTCTCTCGGGATCTCATGGCTTGCTTTGCCTGTAACATCTGCATTCTCGGGTTCTGGAGGTCAGCGCAAGAACCTCTGATGGGGGGTGGGGTCGTTTTTCTGACTATCACAGAGGTGCTCTGCTCCACCCACTGTGGTGACAAGGCTAAGTCCTTTTGACCTATTTTCTGTTGAAAGGATCACCTTGTGAGCTCTCATTTTGAACTGTGACACTAGAGCCCTCTATCTCTTGTCTTTGTTCTTCCTCCCTCTATTCTGTGGAAAGTGTTATACCTGAAATTTAACTCGGTCACTGAAGGGTTTATTCCCAGTGTTAAGAATAATAAGATTTAGAGATCTTTAAAAAGAGTCTTTATATGAAGCTCTAAGATCATGTGAAATGTGCACATTATGGTCCCTTTGTTCTGTCCTAGAGTTTCTTCTGCATTTTGGATATGTGAGACTTTTGAATATAGGTTATATGAGACGTTGAAAGTAATAATGCTTCCTGAAAGCTAATGGCATAATTAACTCAGCAACCCACATAGTCTCCCATCTTAAATTCTTGGAACAAAACTAATGTTGCATGCCACTGGTGTTGATGACCCTTGTCAACAGCACAGTGGACCAGTTGTCATCTGCATAAGTGCAGTGTGCAATTCACGATTCAATCCCATCTTGAATCCTAGCAGAAAAGATTTTGTGACTTCAGCTTGTAGCTTTGGGGATTATGTCACTTCCAGTGTCTCCCAGGGTTCCCACAAAAGGCAAACATACAGCTCTCCTGGGGAGGGGCGAAGCCAACCTCACTTTTGTTCACAGAAGCTATGCTGGGGATTGGTGTTCCACCTCCCACAGTTCCTCTGTCCTTCTGTAAGCCCTGCTCTGGCTTCCATTAGATTTGATGCACTTCTTTCTCTCTTATTTGGAACCTGTTGCATATCTACTTTCAGTATTCATGCCAACACCAGTTCCTGGAGGGATTTTTTTTTTAGCCTATCTAGCCCATCGTGAGTAGTTTTATTATATTGTATTAGAACTTCAATCTTTATGATCCCAACATTTAAACTGGCTGCTTTAAAGTTGAGATTCACCTTGCTATTCTCTATGATGTCTATGAGCAGAGATACAAGTCCTTGTTTCTGAGAAGGGCACTGTAAAGTCAGCTTTCCCCCCAAATGGCCATTGAAAGTGTTATAGTGAAAGGGCTGTTGACAGAGCTGTAGCGGCTATAAAGAGAGACTAGCGGGACATGCTAGAGCACCTTGGAGTCCCCAAGCCCAAAGGCCAGCAGTAGGAGGGCTGGCTGTGACCAGCTGATGACACCAAAGTAGGCCACTCTTCTGCCTGGCCAGTGGAGGGACAAGGAGGGCAAGGAAAAGATGTCCGACTCAGACCTAGTTGGGAATCCGGTGTGGTAACAGGTGCATGTAATCACAGTGGTCAGGAGGCTGAGACACAAAGATTATGAGTTCAAGGCCAGCCTCGGCTACACAGAGAACCTTATATGAATTCCACCCCCAGACCTGGTTGGGAACTGGATGATGAAGCCCACAGCAGGTCATTTCCTGACGGATGGATGGGAAAGAATGGATTATGGTCTGGAAGAGTAAAGAGAAGACACCCAGCATGGTAGCCTGTTGAAAAACACTTTGGCCTTTGGGGTTTAATTTTAGTAACTCTACATGTACCCCAAACTTAGATCTTGATTCTTTTTCATTTCGGGCACATTCGTCCTCGGCACTGCTTTGGTGGTGGTGTGTGGGGGGGGTGATTTTGGGCACATTCGTCCTAGCACTGCCTTCGGGGAGGGGGATCTTATATTGAGCCAGTCACTGTAACTGATTCGTAGATCAGCTCACCCCTCTGTGGACAGCAGAACTTGACCGACGAATCCCCGAGGGCCCCACACGGTGACTTGCCCAGCTGCAGTGTACAGGGGCTCTCTCTGACTCCTCTGTCCTTTTCCAGGGTGGAGCTTCAGCATGGGCTCAGCCTACCAGTTCCACAGCTGGAGGGTCTTCGTCATCGTCTGTGCCCTTCCGTGCGTCTCCTCTGTGGTGGCCCTCACCTTCATGCCGGAAAGCCCTCGCTTCTTGCTGGAGGTAATGCCTGTTGTCACAGAAGCGCAAGTGGTCCATGCACATTGGCAAGGCTTCTTTGCCGTTTCGAGGGAAGTATGTCTGCCTCTTCGGGAGGTGCATTCTCCCTTCCTGCCACGGGGGTTTGCAGGGTTTGATTTCTCATGGAGGCATGCTTTAAGCAAAGAGCTCTCACAGCCAAAACCACGCATGCACTTCCCTAAGCAAGTAGCTTTCACTCGATGAGGGGGCTATTGCTCACTGTTTGATAAGGGAAGCATTCTTGTAATAGGTGCTATTTCTAGCCGATAGCACATTCTCTGAATGGCTGCTCTACAGTGGTATCCTCGGCCTGCGTGCTTCAATGGAGAAGAGCTAAACACATCTGTGTGGTGGCCTTCCATGTGCTCTGAAAACTCAGAGTGATTGGTGACTGAAAGACAAGGGGTCCTAATGCCTGGCTCCTAGCTCTGACTGCCTGTGTGTTTCTTAGGTGGGAAAACATGATGAAGCCTGGATGATTCTGAAGCTCATTCACGATACCAACATGAGAGCCCGGGGCCAGCCAGAGAAGGTCTTCACGGTGAGTCTGCTTCTCGGAGAATCCTTGAGTTTCTGACATGGTTTCTGTAAGGGGCCAGACTTTTAAGGCCTTGCTAGTCATAGAGTCTCTGACACAACTACTCAGCTTTGTCTTTGCTGTGCGAAAGCAAGCAGCCATAGAGAATGTCTAAACCATGGACCTTGGTTGTGTTCCAATAAAACTTTATTTACACAAACAGGCAGAGGGTCCCACCTACCCACACCTATCTAAGACTCCAAGCCTCTGTGGTTGGTTAAGTAATAATACTAACCTGAGAGACAGAATGTGAGCAAGAAGGCCATGATTTAGTCTCTGATTTATTCTGACCCCCCGGCTCAGTACCAGAGGTGTTGTTGCAGGGATCACCAATAGATTCTCTTCACCGTACTGTCATAGAAGGATGGCCTCCCTGCTGGGCCACCATCTCTGCTCTCTCAAGTTCCTACCTCATCTGAAATTTGCTTGTCCGTGCTGCTTATCCAGGAAATTCAGGGTGCCCTGGGGGCTCCTAGGTAAAGCAGATGTATCTGAACTTAGAGTCCATCTCCATCACTCGCTTGCTTCACAGCCTAAGCAATAAGGCCCAGGTTCTGCACTTCAGCTTCTTACCTACAAAGTAATTATAATAACACTGTACTGATACAGTCCTGTGAGGGTCTCAGGAGATGCTGCCAGGTAGCCCCCTGTCTAGCACATTCCAAGCACCCCATAAAGAACAGATAGTTATATACACAATACTTGTTTATATAATATATATACAAATAAGCTATATAAATATGTGTATATATGTATGAGTGTGTAGGAGCAGTAAGAAGACAAAGATAGCATTGTCCCACCCTGTAAACCCAGGACATGCCAGCCATCCTGACTTTCCCCTGACACCTTCGGGTTTCTCATCTCAGGAGTGATTTTGCAAATGTTCATGTGTACACGCACACACATACACACATGCACACACATACACACACACACACACTAAATATATAGATATATAAGTACACACCAGCATATAAATAATAATTTAACAGCAACCTAAGCATAAGACTGTCCCCCAGGTTTCCTAGTAAGCAAAACAAATTTAGTGGATCGCATGTTTTTCAGGAAAAGTCGGTTTCAGTTCTGGTTTGTAGGGACAATACAGACCTGACTGTAAGGGACCTAGCAGTATTATGTATTATCCTCAATAGCACGTTCATGTAATGACAAACACCTTTTCTAAGATTTATTTCATCTTTTTTGTTTAAGTGTGTTTCATCTGCATGTATGTGTGTGCACTGTACGTGTAAAGTATGTGCAGAGGCCAGAAGAAGGCATTGATTCCTCCAGAACTAGAATTGCAGATGGTGTGAGCCACCATTTGGGTATTGGGAATTGACCCTAGATCCTTACAAGAACAACAGGTGCTTTTGGCTGCTGAGCATCCCCATAGTCCCTCCATTTTCATTACTATGTGTATGTATGATATGTGAGAGTGTGCTTATGTGTGTGGGGGGGGGTGTGCATGTTCATGTGTGTCCAAATGTGTGTGTGAAAACCAGAAGACACCTCAAATGCCAGCTTCAGGAATTTCTTTCTCATCCTTTGACATGGTCTTTCATTGGAAAACACCAGTTAAGCTAGATTTCCTGGCCCAGATCCCCAAATCCGATCCCTACCTCCTGGCAATGAGATTACATGTGTATGTCAGCATACCCAGGACATTTATGTAAGTTCTGGGGGTTGAACTCAGGTCTTTGTCTTGAACGACAAACTCTCTACTAACTGAGCTATCTCCCTTCTACCCCAAACTAAGATTGTTCTAAATAAGTAATAAAGAACCACAAGGGGTTAGAGAGATGGCTTCATGGTTAAGCGTATTTACTGCTCTTCCAGAGGACCAAGGCTTGACTCCTAACCCTTACTTGGTAGCTCACAACCCTCTGTGACCGGGTTCCAGGGGCTCTGATACTCTTTTATAACCTCCAAAGGTACCAAACATGCTTGTAGTTCACAGACATTCATGCAGGAAAACTACCCATATGCATAAAATAAAAAATATTAAAAATAATAGCAAAAACTAAAGGACCACAAGACCAAGAACGTCTCAAGACGTCACCAAGGTACCTGGTGTCTTTCAACCCTTCTTGACCAGGTGATCATAAACCCTTTGTCAAAGACCTTCTAAGAAACTGTTTCTCCAGGGGCTTCCTTCCTTGCCTACCTGTTTTTTCTTACTGAAGAGCCGAGTAGTCAGGCCTACTCGTGGGCATTCTCATCACTGTGACCACTTAAGAGTTAGTGGCGGGGGGGGGGGGGAGTGTGAGAGCATGTGTGGGGAAACTCTGGAGCACTGGCGGGAGGCCACTGCAGAAGTCAACCGAAACAAGTCTACCCTTTCTCTTGTTCTACATACAATGCAATGACGTTCTTTGAACAGGCTCTTGTTTTAAATCAATACAGAGTAATATGAACTTTAGAAGATGATCCTTTTTTTTCAGTCCTGGGGCTTGAATCTCTTCTCATCATGTCTTTACTGTAGGTGCTGTTTTCCATGGCTTTGTGGTCAGGTGACTGTGTCGTGTGTGTATCTGTATGTGTGATTGTATGGTGCATGTGCGTTGTGTGTGCCTGCCTAAGGGTGCACAGAGGCCACTGGGCATTCTCTTCTACTACTCTGCTTCCTGACTTTATTCCCTTGAGAAAATAAGGCCGGAAATTCTTCTTTTATTTAGCCACCACAGCACAGGCACAGCCAAACTTAGGAGTGCTGGGGATTTGAACTCAGGCCCTCATGTGTAGAGCAGCAAGCTCAGCTCTCTGACCAATGAACCATCACCCCCAAGCCTCAGCTGGCGTCTCTTTAAATTCTATTTACTCTCTTTGAACGGGCTCAGCTGCTCCCTGCATCTCTAACCCCTGTTACACAGATCTTCCAAGATCCAGACACATGAATCCAAGGGCTCTGTGGACATTTTCTGTGTCCAGCGGTCCTTCAAAAGCTACCTTCTAAATCAGAATTTCCCATTCTGAAAGTCCTCAACCTCTTTCTTATCCGAAATGCCGCCAGCAAGTAGTACCAGCACCACCCGAACTTAACTGCAAACCATCTTAATTAAATGATGAGATATTGACTCTCATGCAACAAATAAAATATATTTCAAATAATTATGAAAAAACAAATATTGATGACTGGACAAGTGGAAACTCTCAAAAGTTAAACAGCTGATGATTTTTTTTTTTACAAAAGAACTAAAAATTCTAAAGTGGGCATTGTTTGTGTACTGTTGTAAACCCAGCACTTAAAAGCCTCGGACAGGAGAATCTCAAGTTTCAGATTCACCCGGGCAACATAGTAAGATACTGTCTCAAAAAGAAAATCAACTTCCCCATATATTTTATTTGAAAACCCATAGTTAACTCAGAAGTGGTTTTTGCTAACTAGAGACAGTGTCTTTTGTATAGTCAAAAGGAGACTACTGCCTGCCTAGCACAATTTGAAAGACACCAAGATACCCAGGCTCCAAACAGTATCTTCAATAGAATTGCCATTTAGGATATGGGCAGGCTGAAAATAAAAAATAAAAATAAAAATAAATGAAAAGGAAAAAACGAAAAACCTACTCAGCCCCTAGGAAAAAATAGCATACATACTATTGTGTCCTCTTTATCCAAAAACAGGGATTCTCTCTCTCCCTTCCTCCCCTCTACCTCCACCACCCCTCCCTTCTCATCATTCCTTCCCTGTATTGAAAGCCTTGCTCACCTGTGTTGTGGCTCTTTTCCCTTCAAGAGGCTACCTTAGGTCACAGAAATACACGGTCACTCTGAATCTTCATCTTTTCTTTCTCTTACACACCTGAAGAGTCAGGGTTGATGCTCACCATGGAGACATCTTCCATTGTAGCCATCTGTGCATGTCTGTTGGCCAACCACTGGGTTAACCTATGGGTGAAGGAAAAACAGGTCTTAGTGATGCTCTATGGATAAATGTTGCATGGGCAAGTATTAACAACTGCAGTTAAAGGCCAAATTCATCAAATAAATAGTCCCTCCCCCAAATAATCTTCAGATAAAGTAGCTCTACATGCAGAAGTTCCTGTCTCTGGTGTTTCATCTGCTGGCATGGCTCTTTACGGAGATGATGCAAAGGGAGACATTTTGTCTCTGGTCAACCTATCCCCACTTGCTCCCCCTCCCGATTTCTCTCTGGCGTTCTCCATCACTAAATCATATTCAGTTCCCTCAGATGTCCTTTGGGTCTGTAGATCTCTGCCAGTGTTCTCATGTGCAGGCAGGGTTCTTACCTAATACCCCTTTCTGTTCCGAGTTGTGTTTTGCTCACTTAAAATAAATAGCCTAAGTTCAGCAACTTCAGGGAAGAGAACTCAACCCTTTGCACTCTGTCGCTGTCCACAGGTAAATAAAATCAAAACTCCCAAGCAAATTGATGAGCTGATCGAGATTGAGAGTGACACAGGAACTTGGTATAGAAGGTGTTTTGTTCGGATCCGCACGGAACTGTATGGAGTAAGTATGAATTTGTTTCATGACACTCTACACATCAATTTCTGACATTTGGGGATAGTCACAGAGAGACTGACTATGCCTGTCCCACAAGGAGGACTTGTCCATGCTATCTAGGACACCTGTCTCTTGCACTAGGACCAGGCAACTGAACCCCTCTCATCTCAGAGGCTAGCCAATATGCTCCATCCATCATGAGGAAGGAAAGTGCTGGGCCAGGAGTCAGGGCAATGAAAGTCTGTCTCAGTATCTGTTGGCCTCCAGGAAGCTGAAAAGTGGGCATTGCTAGGTAGGCCTGGTGATTAAGGCCTATAATTCCAGGTAGTATAATTCCAGGCGGCTGAGGCAGTGGAATCGAGGAGGGAGGAAGGAAGGGAGGGATGGAGGGAAGGAGGGAGGGAGGAACGAACTTAGTTTAAGGCCAGTCTGGGAAGCTTGATGAGAACCTGTCTCAAAATAAAAAAAAAAAAAAGGAGGATTGGGGATGTAGCTCAGTGGTAGAGCACTTGTCTAACACACTTGAGGTTCCAAGTTCAGTCACTAGTAGTGCAAGAAAAATGAAAGAAAAGGAGGAGGGACAGAGGGAGGGACAGAGAGGGAGGGGGAGGGAAGAAGAAAATTCCAGCCTTTGCTTCTGTATTGATGTTAAGACTTTATATTATAGTTGAAATTCATTCAACACTGCGAAAACTTGGCTTTTTTATAATTTGATGGGAAGGGATGGGAAGTGGGGTTCACTATGTAACTGTGTAGGAACACTAACCATCCAATATTTCACAGATTTGGTTGACTTTTATGAGATGCTTCAACTACCCAGTCAGGGAAAACACCATAAAGCTTACGATTGTTTGGTTCACCCTGTCTTTTGGGTAAGTGACATTTAAATTCTCAGTAGACAAAATCAACTGTCACATTGTGACTCCCAGTTGTGTCTTTGTCTTTTTTGTGCTCGCTCTCTCTCTCTCTCCCTCTCTCTCTCTCTCTCTTTCTCACGCTCACTCTCCCTCCCTCTCTCTCTATTGCTTTCTCTCACTCTCTCTTTCAAATTTTCATATGGTTCAATTCTGCTAACTTTACTGATGAAGGAGGGTTATCTGTCTATGTGTTACTTTCATTGGTTAATAAAGAAACTGCCTTGGCCTGATAGGTCAGAACATAGGTAGGCAGAGGAGACAGAACAGAATGCTGGGAAGAAGGGAAGTGAGGCAGTCGTCATGACTCTCCTCTCTGAGACAGACACAGGTTAGAATCCTCCTGGAAAGCCACCACCTCGTGGTGCTACACAGATTATTCAAATGGGTTAGATCAGTATGTAAGAGTTAGTCAATAAGAGGGTACAGATAATGGGCCAGGCAGTGTTTAAAAGAATACAATTTGTGTGTTGTTATTTCGGGTATAAATCTAGCCGTGCAGGAGCCAGGCGGGAACGCAGCCCGCCGTTCCTTTTACACTTTACCAAAAACAGATATTTGCAGCTTACATTTGCTGACAGTCACATTTTTATTTCTTTGGTTTTTTTTTCTTGTTTGTTTGTTTTGTTTTGTTAAGTTTCTCAAAACAGGGTCTCTCTGTGTAACCACTGTGACTGTCCTGGAACTTGATTTGTAGACCAGGCTGGTCTAGAACTCAGAGATCCTTCTGCCTCAGCCTCCTGAGAGCTGGGATTAAAGGTGTGCACCACCACCACCCAGGGTCACAGGTTTTATAACTACTAAACAAACCCTTCTATTACTCTTCTGGGAAACTGCTCTGGCAAACTCAGTGGCACCTGGGAAGTCACATGAAGCCCTGGGTGACTCACCTGTGTGCTGCCCTCGGTCCTTCCTCAGCACAACCCCAGCCACACTGGCCTGTCTGCTTTTCCCTGAACTTGACGAGCTGTTTCGGCCTCCAGCTCTGCCTTGGCTGCACCACCCCTACCAAGAGTACTACCGCGCTAGGCTGGCAGCTGCCCTCCCTCCCTCCCTCACCCCTTCACCGCTTCCTCATGTCACCTTCTCAGTGACCCTGCCCCTGAGTTAGTGCCTTCCTCCCTAGTCCTCTCCCTCCCTTCCTCTCTTTTTCTCTCCCTCCATTTCTTTCTTCCTCCTTCCTTTCCTTTTTAAAGTCAGTTTCTTCATATTCCAAGCTCTCTGGTCCCTTCTCAGCTTTATGATTCCATGTGGCACTTCCTATTTTCTACCGTACAAAATGCTCTTTAAGATTTGCTTTACTAGCCAGAGAGATGGCTCAGGGGGCTCAGGTCCAACTGCTCTGCCCGAGGACCTGAGTTCGATTCCCAGCCCAGCACCACATGTAGTTCCATATACCGTCAGTCAGCGCCACCCGGTGGTCTGCAGAACGACCCACACATAGTCTCCCACTGTCCACCATAGATCCGCGAAGAGTAGCAGGCAAAAAAAAAAAAACAACAAAAAACAATTAAAAAAAATAAAAAAGATTTGCTTTACTGATTTGCATGTGTGTGAGCATATGCACCTGTGTTACAGATGCCAAAAAACAGCACTGGATTCCTTGGAGCTGGAGTTACAGGTGTTTGCAGATTGTCAGTTTGTTACATGGGGACTGGGGTGCAGCAAGGACTAGTAACTGCTGAGTCATCTCTGAAGCTCCCCCAAAGTCTTTCTTAAAATTCTATATAAAGACTAAAAGAGGACTGAAGAGATTGCCATTAAAGACTAAAGCTTACAACCAAAATTTCAAGATCAAAAGTTAGGCCTCCTGTTCTGGAAGTACCATGAAGGAAAGGGTTTTAAGCTACCACACACACACACACACACACACACACACACACACACAGAGAGAGAGAGAGAGAGAGAGAGAGAGAGAGAGAGAGAGAGAGACCATATATACATTCCTGACACAGAATAGGAGTTCAGTAAACAGTTGTTGCCTTATGAATAAAACTGCCGTATACATGCTCTAAGAATGGGGGAGGGTAAAGTCGTGGTTTTATTTACTGATACTTGATATCTCTACTTCAGAATGTGTGTGAAACCCTGTCACCTCATCCCTATAGAGAAAGCAATGAGATAATAACCTTGCACTGTCAAGTCCAAATGATATGGGTGCCTGGTAGAACCCAATATTAATCATACAGGTTCCATCTCTCGGCATCTGTAAACTACAGCAAGCACAGTGGTCCCTTTCACACTGTTAGCAAGGTGTGATGAAGGAAAAGGGGAATGTTCTGGGCAGGGATTCTGGGAGCTCATTCTATGCAGCTCGGTTAGCCATGTGACTTCATTCTCTGTTTCTAAGTTGGGAGGCTTAGAGTTAGAGGCATAGCTCAGTAGTATAGTATAGCACTTACCAGGCGTGTGTGAAGTCATGGGTGCCTTCCCAAGGGAGGCATGCCAAGTAAACGCTCCCAACTTCTGAAGTATATAATTCTAGAGGAGAGACGGAAATGAAGAGCATTGAGTTCCTACCATTAGTTTAGCACAGAGTTCGGTATGAAAAAGGCAAAGATAAACAAAGAAAGTCCTCAACGTAGCCAGTACCCTGCCGATTATCTGGGTAACTTACTCGTTGCTGACCAGAATCTAAATTTCGCCACTTTCCTGATATCTCGGTGCGGCCTACTATTGAAAGGACGTCCAGCAAATGTTTGTTGACTAAGTGAAACGTCAGCTAAAAGGCCCCATCACTGGTGGTGGATTTCCCGAGATGATGTGTTTTCCTTGTCATTCCCATGGTTTTGCCTTGTGACTCTGACCAGAGAGCAGCGCACTGGTGCTGACCCTGAGTCATCGCTTGCCCAGTGACTACCCACACCCTCACACTTCATGGTGCACACACAGCCTGTGAGGAGCACGGGGTGGAAATCTACGGGGAGTCCTGGGGACCACGATGATGATTCTAATGACTCATTTGGGCTTTGGGTACCCTTGGTGTGGTAGGCACTTTGCATCCCATTATACCTGAGCAGCTGCCTGTGGAAGGTGGTTAGTCCTAGATCCTGTGTAGTCAGCGTAAGTGTGGTAAGCCAAGACAGAACCAAAGGGCCCGAGTTCATGCGGCAGGCAAATGACAAGACCAGGACTTGAATTCAGTCTGCTTACGATCCACTTCCTCCCCTGAGTCTCTTAGTATCACTGGAATACGCTAGAAAGAAAAACTGGAGCAAACAGCAGAACAATCCCCTGGTGCGCTTCTCCCCAGATTCATGATGCCCTGGCTCAGCTTCATGGACATGGACCCAGGGATCACAGTGTGGAAGCCACTACATTAGAGTGGCACTATCTGATGCAAACACAATTTGATCCACTTATCCCTTTTGATATTTTCTGGACGTGAAAGTAAAGAAAAAGAATGGATAAATTCTTTTTATCTGTTTATTATTATTTTAATTTGTTTTATTCAACTCATTGTGTCGAAAGTAGTATCTGTGATCAATATAACATTATCCATAAATGATTTTACATTCCTTTTCCATACCTCTTGAAAACTGTGCCACCAACACAGCCCCCATCAGACTGGCCACGTTTTCGGGCCTTAGTGGCTACATGTGATCAGTGGCTTCCAGGCTGAACAACCTGGCCACAGCTTTTACAGTCACACGTCAGCGATTGTGAGACAGGGAGTGGGGATAACCTGGGTATTCAGGCTGCTCAACTAGTAGAGTGCTTGCCTGATATGCATGAAGCCCTGGGTTTGGCCCCCAGCCCCTGTAAAACATATGTGGTTGGCATAGGCCTGTAATCCCATCAGTGGCAAAGTGGAGGCAGGCAGATTGAAAGTTCAAGGCCTTCCTCTGCTACATAGTGAAGTGTTAATCTAATTAATCTTTATCAGTAAAAAAAATCGGAAGTCAGATATCAGGGTAAGAACCTGAAAGATCAGAGAAGCAGGTAGCAGCCACCAGTTGCTTCCTACCTCTGCCATTCCCGTATCCAAAGGGGCCAAGATCCTCTCTCCGCCCCACCTTACTGCTCCCGGTCTCCTCTCTTGTCTGCAGTCCTCCAAACCTCTATGGTTAATTTAGGTCAGCTAGTGGCTAGCTCTGCCCTCTGACTTCCAGCAAGCTTTATATGTCAGAACACAATCAAAATATCACACAACAACGTAGAACATCTGAGGCTATCCGGGCTACATGAGACCTGGTCTCAGAATAAAAGACATGTGTGAGGGAGAGAAGGGTGGGGGAGGGGGGAAGGAGGGGAGAAGAAAACCCCAAAGGTCCCTTTCTGCTGCCTTGAGCCCCTTTGGGAAACTTATCTCCCGCTCCAGACTAGCAGTGCCACAGCTATGTAGGAAGCAAAACTGGTGCTCCACTAGTCAAAGAGGTGATCCTGGGAGCTCTTCCTGGATCCCAGGACTCTCTTCTACCAGGCTAGGGGACAGAGTTTCTCAGTGGCGCCCAGGTTGGTATGAATGACATCGGGACCAGCATGCCATGTTTTTCGATCTATTTATGTTGCCATCACAGCCTAAATGCCTCGCCTCTTAGTACCATTACATGGGATTTAGGATGCTTTTTTTTGATTCATCTATTTATTTTATTAAACAGCAATCCTATCTCACTTCACAGACCAATCCCAGCTCCGACTTCCTCCTCTCCTCCTGTTCTCTCCAACTCCCCCGCCCCCACGCCAACCCCCATCCACTCCTCAGAGAGGGGGAGTCAACAAAGCCTAGCATATCACTTTGAGGCAGGACCAAGGCCCTCCCCACTATATCCAGGCTGAGCAAGGTTTCCCTCCAAAGAGGATGGGCTCCAAAAAGCTAGCCCCAGCCACACAATTGTCACCCGGTTTTGAAGGGAACACACTCAGACCATAGCCCTCTGTGTGGTTACAGGATGAGATTCATACAGCTTCCCTTCAGAATTGCAGGCTTCAGGAACTACAGATTGGAGGATCCAACTGTCTCTTTATCTTGTTTTTGCAGGGGGGGAGGGCAGTGTTTCAATCATTGTGTGAAGATGTGTTCAAATGTTTCAAGGTGACCGTCGTAGCTGGAAGCATTTCTAGGAGCCACTGCCGCCCTGATATGTCAGGAGCTCTTCATGGCCTTGTGTGCACACGTGTGTGCACTGTGACAAACATGTTTCTTCGCCTTTGCAGGTACTATGGACTGTCGGTTTGGTTCCCTGATGTCATTAAACATCTGCAGTCTGACGAATATGCCCTGCTAACGAAAAACGTGCAGAAAGATAAATATGCAAACTTCAGCATCAACTTCACCATGGAGAACCAGATCCACACTGGAATGGAGTATGACAATGGCAGGTCGGGAAACTTGGACATAATTTACCATGCTCGCTAGTCACAAACACTGGCTTCGCCGTGGTGTCCAATTACTAATAACCAACTCCTGTGGGGTTTTCAGTTGCATTGTTAGTTGTTTGAGGGTGTATTTTAAGCATTTCAAATCCACTTTCAAGAGATGCAGGTCAGTTACTTCAAACTACTTCAGAAACTGGCATTGAATCAGTCATGTGCCTCTTGGAGTTTAAACAAAATGCAACAATGGAACCACTTCTGAAACTGTGTGGCCTCATGCTTACTGGAGGGCTGTGAAGACAGTGGAGGGTTAGCAAGGCTGAGCACAGGACAAGGCTGCTCCTTAATGTTAGGTAAGGCAGGAGCTCAGGGCGTGGGTCTACTTCATCTTTTCAGAGAGAAAAACAGATGGACGAGGGCACCATGGTCCTGTGTGAATCTTCTGAGCAGAAACCGCTGATATGAACTCACAGGAGCTCATCATCAGGCTTAGAAAATTGTCTTAATTTTTAAAATGATGAATTTTTTTTTTACATTTCCAAGATAATCAAAATTGCCCCAGGCAAAATCCTGTTCACTGAGATGAAAAAGACTTGTGAAATGCTTGTGGCCCAGATAAGGGACACTTGCCCATGTGGTGGGTGGGGGATCATTATTCTAATTAGCAGTCTAATAAGAAACCCAATCATCTTTTCAGGGGTGTGTATAATGGCTTTGCTTGTTTTAAACAAGTTTTTTAATAATGAATGTATGAAATTGAAGGAAGAAAGCACACCACTAGATGGAAAATGAATGAATGGGAACCATGACGTTAGGAGACATAAAGCACAGGGAGAGACCTGCTCACGGCCCGAACCGCACAGTGTCAGCCTCAGCCACCCACCTGAACCACTGGTGGGCTGCATGTGCATTCCCGAGAAGCTTGAGCATCAAATTCTGTAACTGTGGGATAAATATTTGATTTTAAAAGTGTTGTTCTTTCATTAGCAATTTCTAAGATACAGTGGGTGCGATGGTACCTGTAATCCCAACCCTGGGAGTGGGGAACCAGGAGGCAATGAGCTTGAACCCAGCACCACACATAGCAGAGTATGTCCCACATAATAAGGTGTTTCGGAACAACAAAACCAACAGGAAAAGGGGATATTTTTAAATAGTGTTTATGTCTGAGACAGTCATAATTTTAGTAATATTTGTTAACATTCTAAACTGGATGTCTCATTTGTTAATTAATGTGCAGTGTAATGATAATATTATATTTAATCATTTTAACCATTCTACTGTAAAATCGTTGAGCCAGATGTGATGACACACACCTGTCATCCCAGCACTTGGAAGGCAGAGACAGAAAGACTGTGAGGTTGAGGCTAGCCTGGGCTCCATCCCCAAAATCTGTCTCAGAAGTCCAAACTCCAGGCTGGGGAGATGAATCAGCATTTAAAGTCATTACCACAAAAGCCTGACTGATCCACACACACACACACAAAAAAAAAAAAAAACCAGACACGATTACACGCACATTATAATCCCAGTACTCTTAGAGAGATGGGAATGAAGACAGAAGAACCTCTGGACTCTCACTGGCCAGCTAGCCTGAGCTATGTCCAGTGAAAACCAAGAAGACCTTATTCCAACAAGGTGAAGGAGTTAAAACAGCGCCGGAGGTCTTCCTCCATTCTCCACACTTACACCGTGACATCCACATGCCCACATTCCCTCATGCACACAAACACGCGTGCGCACACGTAGGGAGGATTCTTTTAGGATCCCCAAACGAGGAAAAAACTTACAAACATACATTTTGAATTTGAAACATCTCTTTTAGAAGAAGATAGACGAAAGGTTTGTGTCTTTCAAAAGAAATTTGAACTCCTGCTGCTGACCCGCTTTTAAATGACAAAATGCCAGCTTCCCTGTGTGCTGTCCCCAGTGGGGAGCCTCTACACCCTGACCCAGAACACCCTCTGGGCGGTCTGCACAGATCCGTAGGGAGCCTTCCTTTCTGTATGCAGGCTGTTGTGGGACAGTCCAGAGGCCTCTTTAAGTCCCTAGACAACATCTCTCCCTAGCGGGGAGAGGCTTACCATCCCTTTCTCCAATGTCACTCTGTGTGTGTCACACGTTTAAATTGCTTCCCCTTTCCAGATTCAGACTCATTTTAAGAGTTTCGGCCTTCACAACCCTTTCAGCCTCCGTCAGCACACCTAACAGCTTTCAGTGTGGCCCCTGGAGTGGAGAATGGGAAGGTGGTTGTCTGTGAGGCCACAGTACATTTTCAGTTGAGAAAAGCAACTGGGCATGCAGATGCGAATAGACTTTGATTGTACTCAGCACGGAGTGGGTTCTTTTCCGCCAGCTCACATGGCTCTAAGCGTTAGTCTCCTTCTCTGCTAAGGGTGAGGCTGAAAGACCCCCGATTAGGGGAGACTCTCACTCAAGCCTCGGGATGACGCAAACCCCCCCAGTAACTCACGAGAGACCGTCCTTGCTGCAATCACACGAGGTTTAATGACAAGACGACAAGACAGGGACCAGTGCACTGGGGCCGAGACTCATAACCCACGCAGGGGAAGAGTTCGACCCTGAGTGACCGGAAGAAGTAGTTTTTATAGGAAGAAACCACACAGCCCAGTAATCCGAAAGGAGGGCAGGGAGGGTGCCACAGAAAATTTCGAAAATTCCAGTGATGATTACAAGGGGGCAACTCCTTGCCTCTCAAGATCATTCTCAAGGTCGTAATAAGCTAGTTCCTATACCAATGATAATTACTAGGGGGAATCTCCCTGTTTCTCAAGATTACTCTCAAGATTACAATCTACCTTTATCTTCAGCTAGTTCCTGAAACCCTGAAATTGGCTAATCCTAGATTTCTGATTCTTCTCTTCCTGCTAGATTTTTGGCTCTGTTTTCCTGCTAGGGGGATCTGGATTTATCCAGGTCTTTCAAGGCAACAAGTGTCCCCCTCTCTTGGCTTGCTAGGAATACACTGAGTCTCTAAGAAAGGTATCAGGCTTACTGATACTCACTCATCTGTGGCCTCAGCGAGTCCATTTCAATGACTCATGGGCTCTTTTACGACATTAGGTTCCTTTTTGTTAAGCCCATTATCAAAGTCCCCATTGTATGTAGTCCCTTAAAAATGTATCTGACCCTATTTCATCGATCTGCATGTTTCCAAAGGTCAGCAGGGCTCTTGTAATTTGATTTGGCTCAAGGAATATCTTTGACTGTGAGAAGGAAAATAACCCTGGAAATAAGTGTATATTTTTTCACCCTTGTCAGCCATCCCTCCCACGAAGAAGACGAGCTCCCATGCTCGGCCATGTAAGGTTCTAAACTTAGGAAAAGGACTTTAAAAAAACTCGGAGGGCTCAGTCGTAGAGCCCTTGTCTAGCATGTCCAAGTTCCTAGATCTAATCTCTATGGCTATAATATATAAACATAGATAAAAATATAATGTTCAGATATTACCACATCTTCAAGTGATAGTCACACATCTCAATGGAGATTTTTCAACAACAACAAAAAAAAAATCTGGGGAGAGAATAGTGATCAAAACCAAACAATCCAGAGCCACAGTTCCAGCTCTCAAGACTTTTGCCATCATTGTGAAAAACCAACGAACTCAAGTGTCATTGCTTCTCCCGGCAGGAAATGATATTGAACAATGGTGTAGCCAAGAAGCCAAAAGGGCAGAAGTAGCCGCCTAGAAAACCAAGGTGCCCTCTATAACTTACGGATGGTCATAGCAGGGTGCCATAGATCTAAGTCCATTGACTTGACTTTGAACTCGAGTAGATAAAAGTCAATTCATTTGTCTGTGTGCATGTGTGTACAGATTCCTCGGAGTCAAGTTCAAGTCCGTAACTTTCAAAGATTCGGTGTTTAAGTCCTGCACCTTTGACGACGTGACCTCAGTCAACACCTACTTCAGGAACTGCACATTTATCGATACCCTTTTTGAGAACACAGGTAAGGTATAGCTTACACTACTTACAGCAGCAGCAGGGAGCCTTCAAAGGGCCCCTCTCTTGGCAGAAATGTCATCATCATGTGACATTGGGGCCAGAGGCTTGTAAAGTGAAGATTTAAGTGTGAATGAACGATTTTCCCATATCAGGTTGAATCAAAAGCAAGCTGGTATTGTTTAGCTTTCTTTGATTTAATATAGAAACTACCTTCAAAGCTGACTAAGTAAATAGCCCCTGGGGGAATAATTAATTCTTAAAGAAAAGAATTGACCTGTGGGTTTACTTGTTTTGATAATCTTGATTTCACAATCTGATTCTTGCTTAAGTAAACCTGTCTAACTCTCCAGTTCACAGAGGTAGCAGTGTGTGGTTGTGCTCAGTAACTTAGAATGCTTTAGCCCCAAGTGTGAAATGGAGTTTCAGAAACTTCCCAGAAAAATAAAGGAAGTGGACATTCCCGTCTAGGTCATCAGACACTCACAATCTCAGACGGTTTTCACAATACCTGAGGCTTAGAAAAGCTAAGTGATTTGGTCATAGTAAATGACCTAGTAACCTTAGTTACAACTAACCTTGGAGCCCTGGTCTATGTGACTGTAGTGTCCATGCTTTCTTTCCCTTTCCTACATATTTGTCTAGAATCACATCCCAGCACTGCAGGAAGATGAATGAATGTCTGCCCTGTGAGCAGTCCTGCCTTTTGGCGCTCAGTCAAGAGCCAATTCTGCCCCTCTCCAATAAGAATAAGGCCGAGTGTTGTCTTCTAACCCATTTGACCCCAGAAGACCAGCTGTTTTGAGTGAGCAGAGGGTAAACTGATATGCAAGGAAGGTGATGGTTTTGCCCTGAGCTCTCTTAGCAGAACCTAGCAACATGTAACATCCTTCTTGAAGAGATAAGTTCAACAATAACAACAATAAGATGCAAAGAAGGGCTGCTGGTGACCTTCACTGGAGACTGACCTTCATTCTTCTGTGAATTTATCTTACGTAGACCTTAAATTATAAACGCAGCTTCAAGGATTCAAGGAGTGTCCTATTCCTTCTGTGTGCCTCAGAGATCCTAAAAATGACAGTGATGAGGTCAGCCTATGTATAATTGAAGATAAATTGTTTCATAATCATATTATATAGGACTTATTACTATTAAAGACGTTGGTCTTTCTGTAACATGGTAAATGTAAAGTAATATTGCAAAGGTGTAAGCACTAATATGGTTGGCAAAGGCCAAACACAGGGAGATAACTGGAAACTTTAGTTAATTCAGTCCCTTATCCAGCAAAGGGAAAGCTTCACGCTGCTACTTTGTAATGTGAGGTCCCAGACTAGCTCTCATGCTCCAGCAAGGAGGCAGAAAAAGTGAAGCCAGCCTCACTCAGCCATGGGATGGTCAAGGAGCCAGCAGTACTGTGATTCTATGCTGAACTCTCAGTGGGCCTTCTGCTGCCGCCCAGATCTGTCACTTGCGCCTGGCAAGAGCTTGATGGATTTTATTTGTTGTTGCTTCTACAGATTTTGAGCCATATAAGTTCATCGACAGCGAGTTTCAAAACTGCTCGTTTCTTCACAACAAGACGGGATGCCAGATTACTTTCGACGATGACTATAGCGCCTACTGGATTTATTTTGTCAACTTTCTTGGGACGTTGGCAGTGTTGCCAGGCAATATAGTGTCCGCTCTGCTGATGGACAGAATTGGGCGTTTAACAATGCTAGGTGTGTGCATATAGTCCTGGGAATAAAAAGAGCTGCCCCTGTGATCTAGAGAAAACCTGTGTCCTACCTTGTTCCCTGTCCCTGTAGAATGCATGTCCGTAAGAAATCCCTTAGACCTTTGTCGTTAGGAATGAACTGTAGTAAAAAAATGTGTCTAATTACATTTCATATGAGCAATCCCCATGAGTTACAGACTGAAACGCTCATTATGTGTAACTAGTGTATATTTTCCCACTTAAGTAGATGAGTAAGGAATGATGGCCTTTGGTAAATGTCACATTCAAAAGGTGTTTAGACTGCCTTTCAAACAGGTGGATACCCTTGAACTTAAGTCCTATTGAGCCCAGTCTACAGCTTCCCCATGGAACTGTCTGCTTAAGAGCACTCCAAGACCAACAGGTCCTCGCTCTACTGGGATGACAGGAAATACTTTGTCCTCTGTTGGCAGGTGGCTCCATGGTGCTCTCGGGGATCAGCTGCTTCTTCCTGTGGTTTGGCACCAGTGAATCAATGATGATAGGCATGCTGTGTCTGTACAATGGGCTGACCATCTCAGCGTGGAATTCCCTCGACGTGGTCACTGTGGAACTGTATCCCACAGACCGGAGGTAGGCTGGCGCGGGACCACTGAAAGGTCGTAAGCGGAGAATGTGCGTGGTTTCCTGGCTGCCCAGACCCAAATAATCACACAGAAACTATGTTAATTACAACACTGATTGGCCAGTGGTGTAGGCATATTCCTGACTAGCTCTTACATCTTAAATTAGCCCGTCTCTATTAATCTGTGTATCATCATGTGACTGTGGCCTACCAGTAAAGTTCTTGGCACCCTTCTCCTTCAGCAGTTACACAATGTCTCTCTGACTCAGCCTTCTTTCCTCCTCTATCTCTGCTTGGATTTCCCACCTTGCTATATTCTGCCCTGTCATAGGCCAAAGTAGCTTCTTTATTAACCAATGGTAACAAAACATATTCATAGTGTATAGAGGGGAATCCTACATCAAAAGGTCATTACAGAGATAAGCAAACTGTCACTCACAAGGCAGTGAAAATCCACAAAATACCTAGCTTATGAACTTGTATTTTTAAAAAAGATTCCTAGCAGGAGTTAATAGGACATTACAGAAATGTAATTCTGTCCATGATTTAACATGTTGGCTAACAATAACATTGAGCTGTAATGTCACAGTAAACATTAGAGTTTAATAGCCTGTCTTGGCCTTCATTTTGGGTACTTATCAGTCCTGTGAAGGTCATTGCCTTAGATTTGGAGGTACCTGTGCTAGCAACTATAAAGAGGTAGAAGGTGTCTCTTGATGTTTCTAGTCTGTTGGAAGAAAGCCTAATATATTGATAATTATAAGAAGGAGGTTAGAGAGGTGATTCAATGGGTAAAGCACTTGTCATGCCGAGTGTGAAGACCTAAAACCCACATAAATAAATCTAAGCACAGTAACACCCATCTGAAATCCCTGTGCTTGAGATGGGAGGCAAAAATGGGAGGATCCCCAGAAATTCGCAGGCTGGCCAGCCTGGTACATGCTGCAGGGAGCAACCTAGATATTCTTTTTCAGACAAAGTGGGAAGAGGGTGTAACACCATCTGAGGTTGTCCCCTGACTCCACAGTGTACTGTAGCTTACTCATATTTGTACATACACACACACACACACACACACACACACACACACACACACACAGGCGCATGCCCTTTTAAAAGATTTATTTATATCTGCATTGGTGTTTTGCCTGTTTGTATGTATGTGTGAGCATGACAGATCCCCTGGAACTGGAGTTACAGACAGTGTGAGCTGTCATGTGGGTGCTGGGAATTGAACCCAGATCCTCTGGAAGAACAGCCAGGGCCCTTAACCACTGAGATATCTCTCCAACATTCCCCCACACCTTTTTTTAAAAGAAGGTTTCTACTGGAACATTACTCATCCAATCCCCAATAGACATGGATACTTTAGGCATCATATCAGAGAGGGCTGGGTAGAACCTCAGGAGTTTAACTATATTAAAAGCTTAGAAGTCCTGTTTTTCCATCCTGCATAAGCTGAAATAATGCCCTATGACATCTTTTATTTCATGCAAAATTCCCATGTTTTGTCGCCCTGAAAGTCCTCTGCACTGAAATATTCTGCAGCTTTTGAATAGAAAGGGATCCCTCCCCTCAAAAAAACTACACTGAGACATTGGCAGTCTTGATTCGTGACTGATCTTATGTCATCCCTCTGACTTCATTCTCTCCACTTATTAACCACCCCTAGGCTTATCCTGTACAAGGCAGACTCACATATTTATTCCTAAGGAGCATCTTTACATCTTTTCCTGGCTTATAACACCTGTATTGGTACCCACATGCCCAACTTTCTATAGAATATCCAAAACACAAGAACACTGTTATTCATATTCTTAATAAACTCGCTATCATGTTCTTAGGCATTGAGAATCTGCATACAGCATCCCCTTGACCCAGCCAACCTATGTTCACTCTCGGTGTAGTGAATACACTGAGTTTTCCTTCATCAGCATCTCATTTTGAAAACTGGACCCACAAAATTGGGCATTAACTGCTACATTTTAAATCATGCCCTCTGTGTTAAAGCAAGGCGGTAAGAGACTCCCTCCCGTTTGTTTTGCATTGTCTGAGTTTGACAGAATTCTAGAATAAATCGACTGACCATATAATTCATAGGAGGATAAGTGATGAGCATTCTCTTGGGGAGTGGCACTGGTTTTAAAAGGAAAAAAGAAAAACTCAAGAGTCGGGCAGACCTTTCCTGTGACCAGCCTGCCCCGATTGTGTTGTTGGAACGGTGAAAGACCAAGTAAAGAGAAGGTGAGCTTGCTGTGTGTGCTCACTTGGTCCTCCAGGACAGAAGAGGGCAGGAAGGGATTGGATGTCCAAGAACTGGGTAAGCCCTGTATGGCATTTCCTCTCTGTGGAGGACAGGCGCTTGTCAGTTACATGCACAGTTACCTGTGTATGCAGTTACAGTGTGGTCTGGTTGGGTCACTGGGAGGAAAGGACGTGGTGGTTGCTGTGTCAGGGAGGGTTTCTCTGAAGAGTAGTGTCTGAACTTGGACTTGAAGAAGTTGGGAAGAGCAAGGTAGTCTAAGAAATGCCACCTGGAAAGCCCTGGAAGGCTGTGTAGGCAGAGTTTTCCTGTCCTGCAGCCGCTCTCAATGAACCGGCAGCTACTTCCCAAATAACTGACTCAGAGACTTAATACAAGTTATAAATGCTCGGCCCTTAGCTCAGGCTTGTTACTAACTAGCTCTTACAACTTAACCCATTTCCATTAATCTATGTGCTGCCCCGAGGCTCATGGCTTTCACCTCTATCCCATTTTGTGTGTCTGACTTGTTCTCCATCTGGCTGGCGACTCTTCTGACTCTGCACTTCTTCCTCCCAACATTCTCAGTCTGGCTGTCCCACCTATACTTTTTGCCTGGCTGCCAGCTTGTCAGCTTTTTAGTAGCCAATGAGAGTAGTATATATATATTCACAGTGTACAGGAGGATTATCCCACAGCAAGGAAGGGAGCTAGCAAAATTCAGCAGAAACTCAGTCATAGAAGTCAACCCATTGATCATGCCATGAGGACAATAAGGGGGGGCTTATAGAGAGAAAGACAAAAATCAAGCATGGGTTGGGAGTTCATGCTCATGAGAGAGGAGGCAGGAATCTTACTTGCATTGCACTCCAAAGAGGAAGATGTAATCTAAAAAAAAAAAAAAATGTAGATGAGAAAAAGGAGAAGTCAGAATCCTACATTTTGATCGATACTCAGGAAAAAAATAAGAAAACTGCATAATTGGTTATACATTGGAATGAGGGAAAGAGGTTGTCAAAGGGAGGCTCCTGTTTCTGCTCGCACAGCTGACCGGATGGTTGCACCGTGTTGAAGCAGAGACACTCTGGAGGAGCAGAGCATTCCGACTGGGGTCAGGGAGATAATGAGTTCCCTTTAGAGGAAGTTGAATTGCCATGGCTTCATGGAGCTGTCCAATGGGCATTTGAATTTATATGTGGGAAGCAAAAAGATACCTCAACTGGGGATAGAGCCACTGACAAATTGATCCAGAAGACACTTAGGGGATGCATATCATGAACCAGAGTGGTTTCAGTCACCGGGGTCCAGTAGTGGTCAGACAGCAAGCCTAGGCTTGATGGAGCCTACACTCTGGTTGGGAAAAAGCAATCAATAAACTACTAGATAAGTAAAGTAGACATAGTGTATCAGCTGGTGCTGAGTGCTATAGAGAAAAACAAAACTACCCAGGGGCCTAGAGGGTGATGGGATGGAGGAAGGCTGTAGTTGCAATAGCAGGCTCCAAGGAGATGTGGATCCTGTAAGGTGACATTTGAGTAGGTACTTTGGAAGAGAGCTTTCTTGGCACAGGTGGCAAGGCCCCGAGGGTATGAGGAGAAGGGATCAGCTAGAGAAGGGGCTGAACTGGACATATCCACAGTTCAATGTCTCCATCCAACCTTCTCTTTTTAATCCCTCTTCTTGTCAAAACTGTGAACTTCTTTCAAGTCCTAAGTGTAGCCATGTGTGGCTCTGGCCCCCCTTTTTTTTTTTTTGGTCAGCAAGTCTTTCATCTAGTCAGTGGCTTTCTGCTGCCACCATGTGGCTGGTCATGGCAGCAGAACTCTGCTCACACTTCCTAATCCTTCCAGCCTTTCCCTCCCTGGAGCTCAGGCCAGGAACCACACCGGGGGAGGTGACGTCATCCGGGTTCACACAGTCCCTGAGCTGGCCTATCTTCAGAGTACAGACAGATCCTTCCTGCAGGGGTCCTTGCCTTTTCCCAGCCTCCTCCTTCCTGCACTCTCACGTGTGCACGGTTCAGCTATGACCCCAGAAAAGGCTTGAAAGAAAAACCCTGGCAGCTCACACCTGTTAACCTCTGCTAGTACTGTTGGTTGCTGCTGTCACCCAGGTCTGTGGGTGATTTTTCTCTATCTCAGTGAGCTAACGCAAACCACTGACCAGAGTTAAACCCCTAACTCCCTCCGCTCAGGACTGTTCCAGTTCAGACAGGCATTTTCATTTCCTTCCCACAGCCAACTGGTAACCCTGATCCTTACTGACATGGGTGCCTGTAGGGAGACCATTCAGGCAGCCTGTGCCTCAGTGGGTCTTTCTACTGCAGCATTCTCTCTGTCACCCCATCCTCTGCTGGTCTATAATGGCCTCTTATTTATTTATTTATTTATTTGTTTGTTTGTTTATTAGATTTGATATGAAGGACTCTTTGAGCTTCCTAACCAACTTACGTATTCCTGGTTGACTTTTCTCTGTGTGCCATATCGTCTCCCTATATCTGTTTGCATTTTCTACACGTTTACATTTTGGCATTGACCAGACAAGTCAGATTCTTTCTGTCTCTGGCAGTTAAACATACTACGGGAGAGCTGAGCATGGTGGCCTGTGTCTATAATCCCAGCATAAGGGAAACTGAGGCAAGAGGGTTGGGATTGCAAATTTTAGGCTATGGGCTGCATACAAACTCCAGGCCAGCCTGAGCTATGCAGGAAAACCTGTCTCTGAAAAAAAAGAAGGGGAGCTTGAGGGGATGGGAGCACACACTGCCTTCCCACAGTCTCACTACCACAGCGTAGTGCCAGCAGATCCCGCTGCATGGAAACAGGATGAATGAGAAGCAAATGAGGGAAGTAGCCATCGAGCCGCTTCTTGAGCCCTGGGGAGGGTGCTTCTCTCTGCTCCGGGTATTGAACAAGTCCTGGCATGAAAGGGCCACAGACACCATGATGTAGTAACAGCACAACCACCGGCTTATAAGCTCATCGAGCATGTGTGCTCTAGGACCTGGAGTCACGCCAAGAGTACCATGTCACTTGTTTGAGTCTGCTGGACTCAGGAGATGCCTGACTGACCATTGTGCTGAGGGCAGGGCATTCTTTTCAATCAGCTGCATGTCTTAAGCCCTGCTCACATCGCCAATGAAAACCCATCCTTCCCCATGCCAGCTTCTGAATGATGCACCTACTGCAGTCTTTGCTGCCCACTGACTTCTGCTGAAATACCTTTAAATGCTGTGCTATTCCTTAGTGAACCACACCATTGAGCACATGACAATGGGACATTAGTTTACTGTTTACTATCTGACACTAACGAAAGAATTGGTTTCTTGGGAATAGGACTTTGTCTTCCTCATTTGCTGAATGAATGGCATACACATCTTAAGTGGTCCATATACCAGAGCTAAGAAGTCCAAGTGGGGGGAGGAGCTCAAGTTCAAGGCCAGCCTAGGTTAAGTAGACGGTGTCTCAGAAAATAAACAAACAAACAAAAAACTCATACAAAAAGAGAAGGAAATAAGCTTTGTAAAATTTACCTGGGAATAGACTATAGTGATTCCTCCATGCCTGAGGCCAAGCTTCCTCGGGTCTGAAGTAAGTCACTTAAACCCATCTTGTGGACTTTCTCCACTGACCCCTCAGTGTCCCTGTTCTACTGAGGCCATTGTAGTCCTTCATCTCTGCATGCGTGGTTGTCAGCTTCCTCCCTCACACAGCATTGCCTGCTGGGGACCTTTTCCTGCTCCCACTACTGCACCGGCCGTGTCTTAGTTAGGATTTCTATTGCTGTGGAGAGACACCGTGACCACGGCGACTCTTATAATGAAAACATTTAATTGGGAAGGTTTGCTTACAGTTCAGAGGTTTAGCCATTATCCTTATGGTGGGGAGCATGGCCTCCCTAGGCCTCCATTCAGGGACACCCCTGACACATGCCTGGCCTCAGCAGCTTTCCTTAATCACAGAGGTAAATTCCATAGTCCCTTTCTTATATCTTTTACTCCCAAGTCCAAACCACATGGTCGAAGGTGCCAAGTTCTCATGCCTGCTGAAGATGGAGCGTGGCTCCCTTGCCCAATTACATCTTCACCTGCTTTGTGTTTTCCATCGTTTTCTTCACTGCTTGAGCTCGGCTGTCCGGAAACTCGCTCTGTAGACCAGGCTGGCCTTGAACTCACAGATCTTCCAATTAGATCTTCACCAGCTTTCTGTTTCTGAAGATTTCCTTCACTGTCTAAGCTTACCTCTTTTGGGACTTGCTCTGTAGACCAGGGTGACCTCAGACTCAGAGATCTGCCAGTCTGTGCCTTCTAAGTGCTGGGATTAAAGGCATACACCACCACGCTTGGCTCTAAGATTTTCCTTAATTCCTTTTCACAAGTTGGAAATTTAGCTGGGTAGGATCTTGCCCTGAGGTCACCACTCCCTTTATTCCATTTCTTTTTTTTAACATCTATTTATTTATTTATTTATTTATTTATTTATTTATTTATTTATTTATTCCATATACAGTGTTCTGCCTGCATGAATGCCTTCACTCCAGAAAAGGGCATCAGATCTCATTACAGATGGTTGTGAACCACCAAGTGGTTGCTGGAAATTGAACTCAGGACTTCTGGAAAGCAACCAGTGCTCTTAACCTCTGAGCCATCTCTCCAGCCCCTTATTCCATTACTTAATCTGTTTATCTCCTTGAACACAGGACTTAGCTTCATTCCACTTTCTGGTGCTCCTCAAATTTTACATTTTCTTGCTCCTTTTCATTATATATCTTAACTAGAGTTAACACTAATAACCACACAACAGAGTCTTACTAGGCTGTTTTGAGATTTCCTCTGCCAATAAAATTAATCCAAAACACTTCACGTTAGCCTGAGGCAAACTCTTCAGACAGAGACAAAGGCAGCCACATTCTTCACCGAGGTATCACAAGAATGATCTCTAGGCCACATATTAACATTCTTCTCCTCTGAAGCCTCTTGAGCCACGCCCCCACAGTTCAAATCACACTCCGCGTCATTGACATTCCATATTCCTACTAGGATGGCCTATTAAGCAGTACTTAAAGCATTCAACTGCTTTTCTATTTCATGGTCCCAAGATTCATATACCTTCAAACAAAAGTAAGGTCGGCTCCATCCCAGCAATACCCTGGTCCTGGTACCAACTCTGTCTTAGGGTTGCTGTTGCTGTGAAGAGACACCATGACCACAGCAGCTCTTATAAAGGCAAACATTCCATTGTGAAGGCTCTCTTAGAGTTCGGAGGTTTCGGTCCATTGCCTTCATGATGAAAAACAAGGCAGCGTCCCGGCAGACATGGTGCTGGAGAGGCAGCTGAGAATCCTACATCGGGCAGGCAACAGGAAGTGGTCTGAGTCACTGGGCAGTATCTTGAGCATACATAAAACCACAAAGCTCGCCTCCACAATGACACACTTCCTCCAACAAGACCACACCTCTGAATAGTGCCACTCCCTTTAGGAGCCATTTTCTTTCAAACTACCACTACATGTGGAGGAAAGAAAGATGTTCAAAACCCAGGTGCAGGTTTTGTTAGAAATCAGCTGGACAACAGGGGCAAGCCGTGTTGCCTTCCAGAGCCTTGTTTTTCTCATCTGTGAACTGGACAACAAATGAGGTGCTGGGCTGATATTTCACATGTTACCTTTACCCAGTGTTCTACAAGATTAGTTCTTCTTAACTCATTCTCAGGGGAGGGAATGAGACCCAGACATGAAAGCAACTTGTCCAGGGTAGCTTAGTCTCGACCCCAGATGCCATATCCAGAAGTGCCATTTCAGGCCAGGTGACAGGCATAGGTCCCTGCCTTCTCAGGAGGGACAGGTCTCAAAGGCACAGGTCTGGGGTCTGTGTGCAGGAAGCTTTCCTGGAGTCAGCAGGGTTGGGTGGCACATGCCTGTAGTCCCAGCCCTTGGAAGACTGAGATCGGAGGTTGAAAGCTGAGAACTGACGAGGCTACAGAGTGAGTTCAAGGTCAGTCTGGATGATTTAGTGATCAGAACAACAGCAGCAGCAACAACCACAAAACCCTCAATCCAAAGCAAAACAAAACAAACCAGAAATCCGTGGGTTGCTGGGCTGCACAGCAGCATGAATGGCTCTTGACCTCAGGTGAACTTCCATTTGCTGCCCAGAATTCTTGATCATTCTGTTCTTCCTCCCCCTGGCCCATGCCCACACTTTCTAGCCAGGCTTATCGGATCCAGTGATAAGACACAAAGGCTCTCATTATTACCTAGGTTTCGTGGTAATATTTTATTTCGGCAGGTGCAAGCAACAGGAAGCCTCTTGAGTGGGTAGGGACTTTGGGAGGAGATGGGCAGCCACCTTGAGCCTGGGAAGTCTGTTCAGCCCACGGCGTATGGGAAACTTTCTTTTCCACCTGAGGAGTGAGGAAAACAGGTTGAGGGGGCTTCAGGCTGACATGTAGCCTCATTCAGCAAGATGTGACCCATCTCAGTAAGTCAAATATTCTCCATAAAATATCAGAAAGCAGTGGAAGGAAGGACAAGTATGTAGTTCAGCAGTAGAGTCCCTGACTCACATGGACCAGAGTCTGGGTTTAATCCCCACCACTCATACAGAAACAAAGAATAAGCCACTGAACCTAGCCTTCTGACTTGAGAATATAGACTGATTATTTTCTCTGCAAGAAACAAGACATCAATACACAAACATCATCCAACTAATACCCATTGAAAGGTCCAAAATTACCCAATTTGGATGCTTCAAAAATCTACTTCGAGCATACTTGGAAGCATTCAGGAAATTGCTCATTCTCCAAGTATCACATAGGCGTCCTCGTGCCTTTGAGAAGGGTTCACAGTGAGCAGCTGTAAGGACTGTGCAGCCCTCTCCAGATGCAGCTGGCCTAGCAGAGCTAACTCTGTATCGTGAAATGCCCAGGGTTGCTGCGGGCAGAGTGAGAGAGCAGTCAGTGTGTAGGCAGACGCCTCAAGAAAGCAACCCTGGGGAGCGAGAAGAGAGCAGACACTGAATTAGGGAGAAACTGTCCGTGCTTGGTAGAATAAGCTAGTCATGATATGTGGAAATCAGGCTGAATGGTTAACACAAGCCAGTGCAGTGGTTCATGGCTTGGAGTCCTCAATCTCTGAAGCTGGGGCAGGTTTGCTGCAGAATAGCCTGGCTGTAGAGAAAGAGACCCTGTCTCAAGCAAAACAAAACAAACAAACAAAACTGAGTGAAGGCTGGAAGGTTCTGGTGGGGGTGATCACAATACATTGTAGCACAGACTACACAAGCTAGGAGGAGCCCTTTCCTTCAGTTCTCAGCCACCTCTCCCCTCTCACCCACCTCATAGAGCTCCCAGTCTTCACTAAGCAGCATCCTCAGCGCTTTTCCTGGCAGCTCTGTACTGCCTGGCACTCCCTAGCAAACACAAAGTCTGTTGTGTATTTGAGAGTGTGTTAGCTGCAAGACCACGGGTGTTGCCCCACATTTGAAAGCCTCACTAGCCAAAGGCACAGAGAGAGAAATGATGGTGACGTGCGACATCCAAACACAAACAACGTGAGACAAAACCTCATAACAGTGACTTTTAAAAAGAAAGATCAGTTGTATAAAAGCTTTGTCTGTGATAATTTGTATGGCTGGAAACAGGGCAAAAGGGATTCGGAGAGGAAAAATGATTTGTTGGTGGAGGGGAGGGACGACGTGTGTAGTTAGTTTCCTTGATTGTTTAACAGTACATCCAAGTCAGTTTTCAAATGTAAACATCCCTGGGAAAGTAACAATGTTCTCAGTCCTGGACACACCTTGTGGTCATAGAACTTAGAAAAATACCAGTGCCTAAATCCCAAGAGAGCAATAAAATCAGAACCCCTGTGATTGTAGCCTTTGTCACTGTGGTTGTGTTTTGTTTTGTTTCTGTTTTGATTTCTGCAGGAAATCACTTATGTAGCTCAGGCTGGTCCTGCATTTGTTGTGTAGCTTAGGCTGCCCTAATCTTGCAGTGCCCCTGCCTCTGCTTCCCTTGTGCTGGGCTTATAGGCAGGGGCCGCCACATCCTGGTGGCATGGCTGTTTGAAAAGCTCCGAAGTGCACTCAAGTTTGAGTGGTATCAGGGAGTGGAGAGTTCGGACCTGACCACATACCTTAGCTCAGTCAGTCGGCCATCCTAACCCTAGGTTGGCAACAGCTGTGTACGAAGGCAGGAAACGGGAGTTTAGGGCTGGAGCGAGATAGCCCATTTGGCATTAAAGAAGTCTTTGGGGGTGTGGTAAGGTGGACTGAGTAGGCACCATGAGATAAAGTAAATGAGGGGTGTGAGAAAGAGCGTCCCCTGTCCTCACATTGTCTTTCACCAGAAGATCTCCACCTGTCCCAGCGAGGCTGGCCTTGTTCTCATGCATCTCCTCCAGAACGGCTCCCCCGTCTGCACCCACCCAGAGTCAGACATTCCTCACCATCTGCCCGGGCCCTCATGCTCGTGGCATTTTTCATCATTTGCACATGGTGTGTGTGTTGTCACCATCTGTCTTTACCAGCTTCAGCGAAAAGAGAGCCTTCAGCTCTGGGGTCAGTGCCACACAGGACAGCGCTTGGCCATGTGAGAGATGCTCACTTGCTTGATACCTGGCATGATGGTGCACACCTGTGATCTCAGCGCTCAAAGATGGGAGCAGCAAGAAGGAGAGTTCAAGACTAGCCTTGTACATAGACAAATGAAATTTAAAATACTTAATGAGTGATAATTAATTAATATAAATAAGTGCATAGGAGAATATATACATAGGAATGTGTGTGTGTGCGCGCGCACGCGCGCACTTAAGATGAATTTGCTTAACAAATACTCAAGAGTGTTTAGGCCAGTTAGCATTATAGTTTGTGAAATCGAACAGGTTCCGTGTCAAAATAGCTCTGGCATTGACCTGGGAAACTAGCCCTTGTTCACAGTATTGTTTCTGAGACAAATGAAATCCTTGTGTGTTTTAAATAGCCCGTTTCCAGATGAATGTTTACATCGAAATGTAGCCTTGATTTAAGCACAGCCTGTACTTTCCCAGATGCCCCATGCTGAGTCTTGAATATTCTTTTTATAACGTCTATGGATCATTTCCCTGGGCCAGCAGGAAAAAGCTCCTTCCAGAAGTTCAGCCTAGAAGGCTTCCCTTTCCCTTTTAGCCGGTGACATCTGTGAACAGAGCCTGTACTCCACCATTCCAGACCTTGGCGGAGTGCATCAATTACTTTTTCCCTGATAATTTCATCAGTAGGTGGGGTGGGTATTTAGCATGTTAAAGCCAGGGCTAATCATGGTATCTGAAGCATGTTAGACATGACCCGAAGTCCTGCAGTTCTTCACTGCCTTCCTTTCATCTGAAACATAAGCAGCCCTCTGCACCAAAGTGCAAAGAAAGGAACTGACTGTTAGTTAAGACAGTGCTAGTCCCCCTCCGTCCACAATGGAGCCTGCGGTTACCTCTTCACAATCTCCATTAAAACATAGAATGGGGCTGAAGAGAGGGCTCAGCAGTAAGAGCACCAGCTGCTCTTTCAGAGGACCCGGCTTTGATTCAGAGGGCCCAACACATAGTTTCCAATGGCCTTAACTCTAGTGCCAAAGGTTTAGACACGCTCTCCTGGCTTCCTTGTTGCATCCAAGTGTCCTTACATTATAAAATAATCCAATAAAGTTTAGCTAAATGAACCATAAAACAATGTAGATAAACTAGAACCCACTAAATGGTGAAACCCTCCAAAGAAGCAGCCACGTTTCTCCTTGGGGGAGAGCACCTGGATAGAATGGGAAATGTGGTTAGCATAGGGGAAAGATTTATGTGTTAAAGATGTGTGTAAGCAGTAAAAGGGAACAAAATCTGGCAAGAGAGAAGTGCAGAGGGCAGGGCTGAGAGAGAGAGAGAGAGAGAGAGAGAGAGAGAGAGAGACTGTGTGTTCTCTCACCTCTTTTGATGACTGCTGGGTCAGAGGAGGCAGAAAAACGTCTTGGTTTGAGAAAGAATATGGGGCCCAATCTGCTGCTAAGAAGTCAAGTGGAGCTCCCTGAGCTCCAAGTCCTTCGCCCTCGAGGGACGTCGCAAGTGTGAGATGCCAGGCAGAAGCAATGCCCTCGCTTTAGGGAGAAGCAGAGATGAAATGAGGGGAAGCTGTCCTGCAGAGAAAGCAGAGAGCCCCTAGGAAGACTTGCTTTGGGGACGGTTTTCCTAACACAGCTGGGCCTCGGATGCATCAAGCATCCCACTCTCCAGCTGCAGATATCTGAAGGAATAATTTATGCTCTCGGAGAAGGGCAGACACGATTTCTTGAATGCTGACACTGAATTTTCTCCTGAAGCACTGCCTCGGCTTGAAACGAAGATGGAGATGGCTAGGAAATAAGGATTTGATCATCTCCATTAGAATCCTTGGGTACCAGATGCTCCCAATGCCAAAGTCATCCCTGCCTCCCAGACATCTCCCAAAGTCATCCTGTTCCCAGCTCCCGTTACAGTGATGTGAGGGGACAGCCCTCCGCATTTTATATTCTGTTCTGGGTCACAGCAGAGGGTCATGGCTTGGTGACATATGGTTCCTCTACTCTAGACGTAAATCCTACATGAGTCATTCTGAAGCGTTGGGGTCCAAGACTTCATCATGGCAGGGGAATGTTTTCCTTTTTCTTATCAGAGACACACACATTCTAGCTGTTTTCCCCGGCAGGATGTGCTTTATCTGAACACCAGAAGATGAATGTGACAGTTCATGACAGTTTGTCAAACCAGGACCAAGGCGAGCCGGGGCTTGGGAGGGAGCAGGATGAACAGGTGGCACTCAGATTTTTAGGGCAATAGAACTATTCTTCTGAGTGCTGTCATATTGTGTGGCAAATGTCATCATGTTTGTCAATCCCTGTAGGAGAACCAACACCCAGAGTGAGTCCAGTGTTGATGGTGAGCATCCACTAAAGATGATGTTAGTTAATGCTAGTCCATCGAGGCACCTGGATAGAATTGGGGACCTGGCTTCTGAGGGGACCATGTTTGTATAGGATAAGGACTGATGTGTTAAAGATGTTTCTAAGCAATGACTGAGAACAAGGTCTGGCTGAGAGGCATGCAGAGGGTGGAGTTAGCAGAGAGGCAGCAAACCATATCCCTCTTCCCTTTGGGTGTCGGCTGGGTGAGAAAAGACGGGAAACCCTTGCTCTCTCTACACCTGTACTTTAGGTCGGGGGGCTGGGGGGCATTGAGCATGTTGGAGTTCTCTCTACTTATTTTGGGCTTGTTTTTGCTGCTTGCTGCTCCTTTTTAGATGTGTGTGAGCCAGCAAACTCATTGATAAAGTGTCTTAGCACCCAGTCTGGGCTCCTGAGCTCAGGGGTGAAGGGATTAGGGATATGGGTTCCTTTTCAGTGGAGGAGCAAGTGACAGGCTGCATAGGAGCTGCAATCCACTTTTCAGGTTCTGAAAACACAGTGAAGAAAGTCTCATGACTGTATGTGCTATGGTGAGTGGTTGTCAAAGGAAACCCCACACCTACAAACTGACAAATCAGCCACAGACACACCGTATATACTAACCACTTCATTCTGCAGCACACAAGGTTCAGCTTCCTCTGTGGGTTAAAAGAAAAAGCATTTTAAAATTGCTGTACGTTTAGTCTGCTTCTAATCCCTGCCAGCCCTCAGTGAGAGGCCAAAACACAAGGAACTGGTAGAACGTCAGAGGGCAGCTCACGTGCTCTCATAAAGTCAGTGGGAGACAAAATCACGAGCAGAATTCAAGTTTCCTGCCTAGGACACAGAAAACCACCCAATACATGAATACTAAATAGATGAAGTTTTTGTATTCCAAAGAGTTTATATGTCGGGAGTGAAGGTGGAGCTAAGTGATTGATAGGACTGGCTTAGTGGGTCTGAGGCACTGGGTTCAATTCCCAGAGGGAGAAAGGGGGGAAAGAATTGAGAAAAGGTGGGGGATGGGAAGAAACAAGATGAGAAGAGAGAAGAGGGAAAACCTTATGTGCCTGAGTGTCTTAAATGCTAACAAAAACCAGACAAGATCTTTAGGCCCACAACAATCTCTGTAGGCATTTCTTTAGATCTGTCTCCACAGAGAATTCTGATGAAAATATGAGTGTGTGTGTGTGTGTGTGTGTGTGTGTGTGAGAGAGAGAGAGAGCTCACCATTTTGGCTAAGCTGACCAGAGAGTTCCTAGCATCTGCCTTCCTTTCCCTGCCCCCCATGCCCCTCCCAACACTGGAGCTACAGACATGCTAAGCCTTGCTGCTGGTACATGAGCTCTGGGGGGTTCTGCTCGCACACGCACTGAGCTATCTCCCAGCCAGAGGTGATGCCACATTAGCTTACCGTGGAGTCGACTCATGGGAAAGCCAGAGTGCTCATAGTTTTCAGATTGGAAGGCACTTGGGATTTCAAACTTCTGGATGAAAGGTGTTCAACTAGGAATGTCTACACACATATTCCAGACTCTTCTATGAAACAGTTAGGATCCCAGCCGTGCCACATTAGGGATGCTCAGACAGTCTTTGCTATCTTCCTGCTATCAACATTAGGGATGAAAGTCTGGCAGTTCACCTCAGAGAGGAGAACACACCTCCATTATCCCTGAAAATTCAGTTGACTTAATTGTTTAAAAATTCTAGCTCATTATACTGACCTGGCAGCAAATACTTATAATCCCAATTCTCAGGAGGCTGAGACAGGAGGATTACAGGTTCAACGCTAAGTGATTCCCACAGGGTCTCTGATGGCCACATGTACTTCATGGTAAGCCTGCCCTGCTCATCTTAACACACGTGAACATACACACTAGGTGAATGAATGAAAGATAAATGAGTATAAAAAAATAAAATCTAGAATATTCACTTAGATATCTAATAGGACGAAAATGAAAAAAAATAAGTCTAAAGAAACCCATTGCCATATCATTGTGTTTCATTCTGGGACAAAATTTGAAAAATCTTCTAAATACAGGTTATCACTGAAATTATGGACACTTAATAAAACAAAATAACAAGTCACTTTTGTAAAGAGATGAGAACTTGCCAGGCTATGGTGGCGCACACCTTTAATCCCAGCACTTGGGGGGCAGAGGCAGGCGGATCTCTGTGAGTTCAAGGCCAGCCTGGTCTACAGAATGAGTTCCAGAACAGGCTCCAAATGCTACATAGAGAAACTTCGTCTCGAAAAACGGGGGTGGGGTGGGGGTGGGGGTGGGGTGAGGGGTGAGTTGAGGGCTTGCTAGATCACCCAGTCTTACTCCCTTTGCCCTGGACACAGGAGGTGTCCGGAACTGGGCAGAGGCGAGATGGCTTCTATCCTGAGAGGATGTAGAGTGATGTTGACTTTTACTTTAGTAGAACCTTCCTTCCAACTCTCCCTGGGCCAAGACCGACCTTTTTAATTCCTTTCCAGAGTAAGAGTCCGTAGAGCAGGAAGAAGGTCCACAGGAAACTGGACACACCCCCTACAGCTGGCTTCTCGGCCTCCACATTGGCTAACGAGCATTTTAATTACCTGCACCACTGACATGCCCCACAATCTACTTAAAAGACCGTTGAAAATGACTGCACGGGTCGTGAGGGTCTAACGCCGGACTCCAGCGTGTCATTTTCTCAACCTTGTCCTCTGTGTTTCTTTCTCTTGCAGAGCCACGGGCTTCGGCTTCTTGAATGCGCTCTGTAAAGCGGCGGCGGTCCTGGGAAACCTAATATTCGGCTCCTTGGTCAGCATTACCAAAGCCATCCCCATCCTGCTGGCTTCCACCGTGCTTGTGTGTGGCGGACTCGTGGGCTTGCGCCTGCCCGACACGCGAACCCAGGTTCTGATGTGAAGGAGCCAAAAGCCATCTCGTCCCACCATGGGCCGGCCCTCCTGCCTGACTCAAGGCTGCAGGGGTTTTGTGTGTAGAAAGGCGGCCGAGTAGAATACAAACTTTTGCTGTTGACGTAAAGAGTAGCTGCGTGCGTATCGTCTTGCCCCTCCAATGTGACTTTGCACTGTTTTATTTTTTTTCCAGGCATTGTTATCTTTCCCTAACTGTGACACTCCTGCCTCCCCGTGTCCCGTGGAAGTGTTCCTAAAATGTCCCAGTCAGCCAGGCTTTCCTGGGGATTCTGACCACTGACACTGAGAAGCTAAAAAGCCTGTGCTGGCCTAAGAAATAGACCCTGCCCCTGACATGTCATTAGCAGGAAGTTTAAGCTGGCATAATTGAGTTTGTGCTGAGGAAAGGGATTTCTTTTTCCTTTTTTTTTTTCCATACAGAATGATATTTCCTGTTTACTTAGAAAAAAAGAACACCCAGACACTCTAGCTGTTACAGCAGGGTGTTTCAAAAACATTGTGTGACACCAAGCATGCCTGAGTGGGGCTCTTTCAGGCAGGACAATCAAGGTGACTCTTCTAACAAGAAAAATTTAAAGTCTGACTTCAGATGGCAACAAAAGCCTGCTTGAGCTGCAGAAACCAGATTTTAGATGGGGAGCCCTGATACATGTGAGGGCTGCAGCCGCCACCGCATCTGGGACTTGGCAGGTGGATCTCAGTGTTTGAAGATCAGAGATCCTCTGCCCCTCTTTGCATTCCTTCCCAAGCTGCCCCGGAATTGGCCAGAAAGCAGATGCAGGGAAAGAAAGCCACTTCTTAAAAAGTCACATCTGCCTCTTCAATTCTGTGACACTTCTCTCGTCTCTGGTCCAGTGATTGGCAGTAGAAATTAGAAACTGGCAAGAAAGTCACAACCAAAGCCATTTGGAAATGCCAAAGGGTATTTCTCTCGGTACTGTTTCTTGAGAGTCAAAACTATCCCCCTCCCTTGTTCGTCTATCTGTCCACGGTCACTGTTTAACCCCATCTCCACAGCAGGCCCTGCCCCTCCAGCTTTCCCCGGGCTATGGGCACCCAGCCTTGTCGGAGCCCAGCCTTGTCTCTGGGTTTCCCCTTCTCTCCCAAGCAACCCTCTTTGATTAGCATAAGCCATTAATCCACTGTCCCCAGCGAGTAAGTCTGGCTTGGTGGAGGGGACAGCCTAGGGTTAAGATGGGAAGTCTCAGAGAGTAGTTCCCTAGATAGCATCTTCTGATGGATGTCTGTCTGTTTACCTCTGGAATCTTCATGAGCGTGGAAGGACAGGTCAGCGGGACATTCCCACGGGCCAGCTGTCAGCTAAATGACCTTCTGGTCTCTCACTGACTGCCCCTCCCCCAAGCCCGTTCTTTCATCCGTCTTTGAAATCTGAAGGCTCCTTGTCGATGCGAAGCCAGTATACGTCCCATATTTAGATGGCCTTCTCTCTTTAACTCCCTCTGTCTTGTTGGAGGGTGATCCTTGTTGCTTCTTTCCTGCTATTCCTGCATGACCACAGCCCTGGGGCTTCCAGAAAAGAGAAATTTTTGTTCCCACTAATCATTCTGTTCAAAGATGGCCCTGCTCCCTGGAGGGGCCCCCTGTCTCCCCTCCCCTACCGCATTCCCTGATCCCTCCTGGAGCTCAAATTCTGTGAAAAGCTCTTTGATTAACATAAGCCATTAATCCACTGTCCCCCAGTAAGTAAGTCTGGCTTGCTGGAGGGAGCAGCCTATAGTTAAGATGGGAAGTCTCAGAGAGTAGTTCCCTGGAGATAATTTAGATACACGGAGCCAGGACACCAAGGATATCAGAACAAAATCTGCAAAGGTGCCGGAAAAAGGAAAACCTTTAAGATTAGGCATGACTGCTTTGAAAGACACCCACAAAGCAGGGACCAGAACAGAACTCACTTCTGTTTCCTTTTCCATCCCTGGGAAACAAATACATATTTTAAAAATCTCAGAAAGTATTTTTCAAATTATTCGTTGTCTATGTGGGTTCGATCCCCCCTCCTAGTTACCCGTGATTTGTCTTCTTTTAAAAAGGCGCGGGGAGGGGGCATTTTTGGGACCCAGAGCAGATCTTTTGGATGAATGTAGCCTGTAAAGACAATGCTACGAAAGTAAAATATGAATCTCTTCTCTTCCCACACAAAGGAAAAACTGACATATACAAAGGCATTGTTCTCTCTACTCTTGAGTGGTAGTGAACTTACTGCATAATCAAATTGTCTCTATTCTCTGTCTTATAGTCTAACTACATCAAGTACATTCCAAACTGCAAGACACGGTCATGCAGAATTTTATCTGGATGCTGGTTTGGGTTAGCATGAGATAACTCAGCGGAGCCCTGCTTTGTTAAGACCATCTGCCATCATCTCCTTCAGAACTAGTCTTGTCCATCTACCCCAAGCTTCCCAGGTGGCCCAAGAGGGATCTCTTCTAATCTCCTGGACAATCCGTGGTCACAAACCTTCTTGGTCACCACCACCTTTCCCACCTCCCATGTTTTCTTTCTCAGCCTTTCACTGTGCATCACCTCTAGTGCCCATGACAACGTCCTCGTTTCTTCCCAAGTATGTGGTGCGGCTTGTTTGGTTTTAATTAGAGCTTAAGATATAATCATGAGAGTCAACAGAAGCCCCCGTTGTATGAGTGTTATGTGGCACCAAGGCAGACATCTGCCTTCCCATTTCATACACAGCAAAAGGAAACTGAAAGCTGATTCAAAAATGAAATAGAACAGCCCCACATGTACCTGTATTTGGAACTCCATTTCTAAGATTTCCCCCATTGCTCTTCAGAATCAGTTCAGAGTGTTCCCCAGTTTTACTATCACCGAATCCTCTCAATATGAAAGAAAGCGAAACAATCAATAGCGAATCAGCTGCTCGGCACAGTGACTTCTCTAAGATGCTCCACTCTACATACTGGGTCTCAAGGCTCACACTCAGTCCTGCTTCCTGATCCATCTCACTCCTGGGTACTAACCCAAGACACAATATCAATGGGGGCAGAGATCTTTCTGAAGAGAATCCATATGATCGTATCCAAAAGGTCAAGAATTAAGTCACTAGACATATGGGTCCTCAGTTCCCCCATCTGTAGAGAAAAAGGATGACTATTTTATTCTCCAAGATACTATGGGATGAAAATGAGAATAGCTTCATCTTACTTGTCTACTACCGATGGGAAGCCTACCTTAGCAACATTCTGAAAATGAGACAATAACCAGGTCTATAAGGAGAGCAGGAGTTGGTGTGGGAAGACCTCATATCACAGGCTAGAACAGTTTCCATGTTGTCTATGTGGCCCACACCTAGGGATTTGAAGTGTATCTCATCTCAGTGCCACTGGAACTGTCATTGCTATCCACCCAGGGAATGGACAACCCCGGAAGACACACTACAGTTAGAAAACAACTTGATGGAGGGAGACCCACAAAGGCTGTATCCTCCAGCCCCATACATCTACTTCACTGTTTTCTTGAAATTACCTTAAATGGATCTAGGCCATCAGCAACAATGTTTCTCAATGGCTTGACATGAATTGATAGATGGACACTCCTTTATTTAATTTTTTTTTTTTTACTCAAGCAGTCTTTAATGAAAACTGTATGAGACGCCCCTACTCCTGCATCTTCTCTATTGTTTCTTCCTTGTATTTGCCCTTCTCCTTTCCTACTTGTCGAGACTTGGCTTTACTTTCCAGGATCTTCTTGCGGTCTTTGTCCAGCTTTAGCCTGGTGATCACCACCTTGCTGGGGTGGATGCCCACGTGGACAGTTGTGCCATTAGCCTTTTCTCGCTGCACCCGTTCAATGTAGATGACGTATTTCTTCCTGTACACTTGGACTACTTTGCCAATCTGCTGGCCTTTGTAGTGTTCCCGGACAACCTGAACTTCGTCATCCTTCCGAATGGGCATCGATCGAACATTGTACTTCTGTCTCAGCTCTTTGGAAAGGGGGGAAGACATGATCTTCCTCCGAATGTGAGAAGGTGCATTGAAATACCGTTTGCGGTTCTTGCTCCGGTCAGAAGTCACAAAGGGATTGAACTTCATTTTGGCGGCTGCGATCCAGCGATGGCCGCAAGAGGAAAGAGGTCTATACGCGACTTCCGGTTCTTGGACACTCCTTTATAAATCTCACCAATAGAGCTAAAGTTTGCACCAAAAACTCATTTGTTTTCAGAATATCTCTGGGCATCAAGGGAGAGGCAGTGGAAGGTGTAGTGGTGGCGGGAGAGTCCAGTGTTCCGTCACTAGAGTTCTAGCAATGAGATTAGTGCACCTGGGAGACATTCTAAACTCCAGGATCATTTCCAGAGCATTCCGTGAGAATACTTGCTGATGTCTTCTGCCAGCCAAAACAGAATATGATATTCTCCAGTTTGCTTCTATCTTATATCAAACAGGCTTTTTACCTATTTCTTCATCAAGATGCCTTATTTGTTCATATACAAAGGGCCCCGAAGCCAGGAATGTCTGGATTTGACCTTCACCTGGAATTGAAGACAACTGACCTATTGTTTGGGGCCTAGTGGCTGTATATCAGGTTTCTTTTAAATCCCATATTGTGCCAAACTTAGGCTAGTTACCAACCACCCCTCACCCCCTAAAAATGTCATGCAGAGACAGCAAAAACACATCTACACAGTAGAGTGCCCTGAAGTGACCTGTGTGTTCCTTCACATTCTTCGCCTGTTGAGCAAAGTGTCTATTTTAGCTAAAATGTCTCCTGTAATCTGACAGAAGGAAGGGGTCAGGCTCTTCGATGCATTGCGTGTCCTTTCCCTGTGTCAGGAAGCTGGCAATTCTCTGTGGACTGCGCTGTTGCTTTCACTATTGACCACACCCCTGTCAACAACCTCTCCCCAACCATAGACAAGCCATTGCCAGGGCTTCCTTCCACTTTCTCGGCTCCCAGGTGCGGTTTAGCTGTCCCAGCAGTTTGAGCCTGTGGGTCTGTTTAGGTCATTGACTGAAGTGGGTGGGTCTGGGAGAGAAGAGAGTTGGGTAGATGGGCCTGTCTCTCCTTTCATGACTGTATTGGCTAAGTACTGGCTTATCATTGTGCTAGGTGTTCAGGCACTGGGCTGTGTGCCGATACTTAGCCCTCTGCAGTATGTCTTTGAGAACAGGGAGAGCCGGAAGAATGAACGACAAGACAATCTCTTATCTTCTCACATTTCGTGTTAGGCCTCTCTGTCAATGACTTCTGTCTCTAACTTTTAAACAAGTTATAACCTACAGAAGGTAGTACAAGAACTATGCAGTGCCAGGGTGACGTGACAGAGGAAAAGCTTCTTCTTTAGCCGGTCTTGGGGGAGGGAGTACTAAGCAGTCCTGGGAACACAAGACACGTTCATGCATGTGTTTCTTCACAGGGTCTCAACGGGAAATTGCACTAAGCTATCGTATAAAGAAGAGAGCTGACAGCAAAGGTGGTCCCTGCCTTTCTAGAGCTGTTCACGTCTCTACAACAGTTCATTCCAGGGAGCTAGGAAGTAAGTGTGTTCCCCTCTGCACAAGCTAGGGCTCTCTCTCCAGGGCTTCAGCAAGTCCTGGCAGCTGGCTGCTGATCTCTGGACTCTGCTCCAACCCTCCCAGGAGGTGTTTCCTTTCTGGTGTTAGAGATTCGTGACTGAGTCACACAGTCTTGGGGACATCCGAAAGGGAAAGCGACTTTCCCCTTCTCTAGCCTCAGCAGAAAGCAGGTTGTGACCACAGGAGGCCATGGAGATTATAGGCTACAGTTTGAAACTGAGTGTGGGGTTGTTGCCAAGTGTTTTGAAGCTGCAAAGGATCTTGGGGGTTCTAGAGCCTTCAAATAGGCAGGGCAAAGAGAGAGAGTAGTCACTGGTCCTCTGAGAGCCATGGGTGCCTTTTCTCCTTACCTCTCTGTCCTCTGGGCAGCTCATATTCACTTTCATTCTTTCATTCACCATCCTTCTTCCTTCTTCTTGTCCCCTCTTGACTCTAGCAGCATCCAAAGGTGAGGGTAAGCTTTCCCAAAGCCCCAGGACTCAGGAATGGGCATGTCCTTACCTTTCTGGAATACAGAGGATGGAGAACCTGGGAGGGGGGGGGGAGGAGTGTAGTGATAATGGTGCTCCCTGGGTCCGTGGAAAGGTCCTCCTAGTCCAACACCCTAATAAGATCAGCATAGAACCAGAGTGCCAGAAGACATCCCTTGGCTTCCAAAAGGAGCATTCCTCTCCAGGAGCATGGCATTCTGTGAGAAATCCCAACTCAGTACTGGAGGTCCGGTGCTTAAACTACAAAGGTTGCCCGTCCTCTGCCCTCCCTACCATATTTGCATGCCCCCTGGAACCAAGAGCATCCAGAACTAAAAAGAGACAACAGCTTTCAGCCTTTGGTTCAGACTCAGGTAAGTTTTTATGCCAAGCTAAAAACCTTCCTTGGCAGCAAGAACATAGAGCCCTAAGCCGCTGCTTCCAGGCGCTCTGAGAAGGACTGGCCAGCCAGGACATAAGGGGCAGTGACATCTAAATCCAGCCAAGACTGGGAACAGGCTCAATCCAGTTCTTTGGAGTCAGTTGTTTAAGCTTCAGAAATTTTAAGAAAGCCAATCGAGAAATATAGCCATCATTAAAAGTTAAATACAATTAAATCAGTTATATTTTAAAGCAATATATGTTTAAAAACTCATCACTTTCTACTTATTTTGCTACATTTTTCTATTAGCTATGCCCTTGGGGTAATATATGCCTAGTATACCTCTATACCTCTATTATGGAAGTACTATGTAACGATGTCCTATTGGATGTATATTCTTGATGACAGGGTCAATGACATTATACTGAGTTCATCCACATTTACAGCAAGGAAAGTAACAAATGCTTTAGGTCAGACTCCTCCTACCCCTACAATAAACCCCAGGCACTGGTAAAGATTTACCAGCATATCACTGTCTGAAGCCCTGAAGAATACCAGGCTTCCTGTAACTCAGCAGGAGTGTGCTTTGCTAGCCTGCACAGGGCCCTGGGTTCACAGAGGTCGGGAGGTGGGGGAGGGTGAGGTTGGGCCTCCCAAGGTACAGACCCAGGCCCTTGGGCTTCCATTACCCATGAGTCCAAGGGAAGGAAAGATTTAGCAAGTATTCATGCTAGTTCTCAAAGGTGTCCTTCCACATCCATATTGGCTCAGATTAGGACCAGCCATGCAAAGAACCCACGGGCCTCTGGCTGGTGTTCCTTCTAGAAAGTCAGCTGCTAAGTGCGCATTCCCATATGTGGTTGCATATTCTCTGCCTGACCCAGGAGCACACTGAATGGACTGTGAGCTCTTTATCGGTGTCTGAAAAGGGAATCCCCAGAAGAGGTCCTTCCAGGCACGCTTCCACTTAGGTTGCCTGCTCAGCCTACAACTCCACCCTGCTTTTGGCAATGAACTCCTGGCAGTGGTCCTGTCCTTGGTCAGGGTGTGCGGGTGTTTTGGCTTTGTAGTCTTTCTCTTTTCTATTTCCGGAGCTGTGTCTGCTGTCCCGCTGTTTGATCCAGTCCCCCTTGTTGTACTGTATAATGTGCTGCATGTGTGATCCTCAGTAACCCCCATTTCGGGTTTCCGGAGTCCCCCTTCTCGAGTTCAGCTGATCCTGCCGTGAACTCATCTTTCTGGTATGCTCCTCTGTGTCTCATTTCCGATTGCCAAAAGGTTGGGCCAAGTGTATTTTCACAAATGTCCCAAGACAGCCATGTGTGTATCCTTGTGAAAGGGCATGCTCCGTGTGGGATGGCTCGTGTACAGCGTAAACCTATCACATGTGAAAGTGTGTATACATTTATATGCCAGATAGCTATCGTTCATGTAACAGCTACAAAGATATTTAATGTACATCAGATGAATAAAAGAGCATTTTTTGCTCCATTATATTCAAATAAATATTGCTGTGTGGCTGCCTTCCCTTCCAGACAAACAACCGCCAAGGCACAAGCATCTTTTGCTGTCCGTGATGGGACAAGCTTGTGATCTCAGCTGTCAAGAGGCTGAAGGAAGAGGGTTGTGAGTTTGAGGACAACCTGGGCCACATTGAGAGACCCTGTCCTAGGGAGGGGGAAGGAGCAAAACAAAAGAACACATATGAAACACATTTTTATGTCTTTGGACCTAGAGAAAGCCAGTCCCTCTGGCGCGGGCCAGTTTTACTTGCATTTGTAGGCTGGTTCCATGGGTACCGTTGTGTTGCTGATTTTACAGAAATACTTTCCAATGGTTACCTAGGGCCACTGTGAAGAAAATGCTTGGGGGATTGGGGGGGGTAGTGGTGGTGAGACAGATGCTTGTGTTATTTTACCCTAAAGCAAGAACAGTTAACAGATTTCTATGTGCCCATCGCCTCCAATTAATTGATATTGACTGCTAGAACATTCATCTGAGAACAATGAGGGGAGAGAAGCTATATTTGACTGTGTTCAAATTAGAGGCAGAAGCAAAGACTACAAAGCCTCATATTAATGTTCCCCCCAAAGAAGACTTTTTACTGGTTTTTAAAGAAGACCCATGTTTCCCCTTGTTCTTCTTTAATCTTGGGTCTTGCTGAGTTTGGAAGGCTACACTCCAGGGATCCTCCCACCTCTGTTTCCAAGGTAGCCATGACTGCCACCTCATATCATGGCGTGCCACCAAGAACTTGGGTTTCTAATCGGGTATGTGTCGGTGTGAATATATACCATTTTGTATGCAAGTACCTAAGGAGAACTAGAGAAAGCATTGGATCCCCTGCAGCTGGAGTTACAAGCCATCATACGCTGCCAGTGTGGGTGCTGGGAACTGAACTTGGGTCCTCCGGGAGATCACAAGCACTCTTAATGATCTTTCCAGACCCAAGAAATGTTTTCAAACAATCAAGTTATTTCAGTGTGAATTGACATTAATGATGACCCAGGTTCTTTCCCTCTTTTAGAACAACTCTCCTTAGTATGCTGGTTTTCATCCCCAGAGGAGTTCAAAATAGTGGTAGGAGCTCTAAATAGCAGATTTTGGCAAAATAACCTAAGGGGCAGAGGTAACTGTTCCATCTTCCTGAGTTCTTTTTACATAGAGAAGAAAATTGTGAGTCCTTCAGCAGACTTCCCTGCCTCATTGGCTGAGTTTCATCATCTGCATACTCCTAAACCAGTCACGGGGAATGGGATTGTGAGCAACATATTGCTTCAAGCAGACAAGATTCATGTCTCCTCAGGGCTTGAGAAGAGCAGGCCTCCCTGGAAGCTAGTGACTCTGACATCTTTGGAGCTCCATGAGCAAGAAGTAGAGAGAAACTAGAGAGGGACCCGTGAGTACTAGAGCCAGGCTGTCGAATACTAGTAGCCACGTGTGCCATTTATATTTAAACTTAACTACAGGCTAGAATTCAGTTGTTCAGTCACCCTTAACCATATTTTGGGCACTTGGCTGTCACCTGTGACTCTGGTTGCCGGGTTCTCTGGCAGAAAGAGCGGTGGCAGAGCCCAGAATGGCTGGACTCTCCCTGGGGTTGAACGGGGATGGTAAGTGTGGTTATTCAGCCCTCCCCACTGGGCACCAGGGAGAAACACACCCACTGAGTTGGGAGTCTGTCAAAGCCGGAACTCGTTTAATGGTATCAAGCAGGGACTTATATAGGGTTGTGCTGGGGGTGGAGAAGCCTGGGATGGGCCAAGGCAGAGCAAGGAACAAGGGCCAATAATATTCTACTACATTAGCAGTGGCTGGGCAGAGGCAGCCCTAGGTCAGGTAGCCAGAGACAGGTCTCCAAACTCGAGCTAGGCTCAGGAAGTTACACTAGGCCTCACCAAACTCAAGTTAAGCTTAGGAAGTTACACTGGGCCTTATGCCCAGGCCTCATGAGGCCCAACATATCCCCCTTTGGTTTTTATTAAGAAGAACTGCTTTGCCCTGGGGTCCCTCTGAACTGTAGGGGGCTGAGGGATGTGTAGGTCTCCAAGGAAAAGAAATCAAGGGAACCACTAAGCTAAGCAGATATAAGATACTTAAAACACTGAACTAAAGCTACCTTCAAGTCCCTTGCCCCCCAACTCTAGGACAGTTATCTTATGGAAGCAGCCAAAGAACAGGGCATGGAAGACAAGGGCAAGATAAAAGAGGCGTTAAGAATGTTTTAGAGCCATTAACTTCTTCTGCCTAAGGAGGCTGGGATGGCTTCATCTGTGAGCATCTGATGTGGACCAGCAGCAGCAAAAGGTGATGGTTAGCACCTGGTTCTCAGTCAGCACCAGGATTCATACCTATCTCCCCTAGTGTCTACACTTAAGAACACCCAAAGGGCACAGGAGAAAACAAGGTTGTGATCTTGGGGAAACCAAAGATCCGATGTTCTCTTCCCACCATGAAACAGCAAAGCACCTCTTCAATGGTGTCCCACACCTCCAGCTGGCTGACGAAACCACCAACAGGCACAAAGGGTTTAGGCTTTTAGACTCTCAGAAGTAGTCTAAGAAGGACTCAAGCCACAAGGATATCAGGATGGCCCATTTCCTGTTTCCCGCAACATGTAGGACTCTCAGCTACTTCCCTAGCACCAAGTCTGCCTGCATGCTGCCATGTCCCACCATGGTGACAATGGACTGAACCTCTGAACTGTAAGCAAGCCACCCCAATTAAATGTTTTCCTTTAGAAGAGTTGCCATGGTCATGGTGTCTCTTCACAGCAAGAGAAACCCTGACAAGACACACAGTGACTGCTTTATCCACTGATCTCTCAGCTCCTCATCCCTTTGTGGAACAAGGTATCAGATAGCCTGTAACATGAGGGCCGGCTTGTTGGGGTATCTGTTCCCACCCAGTACCCCACAGCGGGCAAGTCCCAGAGAAAATCAATCACACAGAGATCTCTATAACTTATAAAGCTGATTGACCCATTTGGTCAGGCTACTTATTAGCTCTTATAACTTACGTTACTTCATTATCCTTATCTACGTTAGCCACACGGCTCAGTACCTTTCTCAGCTGGGCAGTTTACATCCTGCCTCTTCGGTGATCTGTGCAGAACTGCGGAGGGAGCTTCCTGCTTGCCAGAATACTCCCAGTCTCTTTGCTCCACCTCTACTTCCTGTCTGGCATTCCCGCCTATACTGCCAGCCTGGCCAATCAGCGTTTTATTAAAATATGATTGACAGAATACAGACAATTCTCTCACACCAGTAGCCCAAGCGAGCCTTGAGTTTCTAATCATCTTGCTTCTACCTCCCAAGTGCTGGGATTACAAGAACGTGCCATCATGGCCTGGCTTCTCTATTTTTCAACCATTACAAGTGACTGAAGCTACAACCTTGTGCACACTAGGCTGGTGCTGTGCCATTGAGTTAGATCCTTCGTCTTCACTGAGAGTTCTAAGGACAATGTCTGCAAGCCTGACTCAGGCCAGTGTCAGAATCATTGTCACTGTGTGCGTCTAAGCAATCCATTGGTCACAACAAGGCAGCATAGTCTTGAAAGTGTGCCTTGTCATGATTATTGATGTCTATTAAATGAAGCCACCAGATCATTCATGTTTACACATTAGTCGGCTATGTCTGCCATAACAAATCACCACCAACGGCAAAGCTTAAATAACCAAAGTTCATTTTCTGGAGAGCTGAAGTAGGAGATCGAGGTATGAGGTTGTCAGTTTTTTCCAGGGCCTCCTCTTT